GGAGCTTATTTCACTAATTTCCTTTATTTAGCTTATTTAATGCCTTCAAGATTTTATTTAATTCTTTTTTGAGCTCTTTTTTAGCTTTTTTATCTTGTCAAAATGATTGGTATTTTTTTACTCCATCTGTCTGGCTCAGGCTCTGATGTTGTTTGGTGGTGAGTGGGGTTTTGGCATTGTGGAGGTATCCTCGAACCTTGTGTGCCACAATTAGCATGCACATATTACTAAATATTTATGACAAAGTTTTTCAAGATTAACCTAACTTGTTTAAGAATCTTATATGCATGAATGAATAAATGCATTGAAATATAAAAACATGATTATATGCATAACAATGTATGAATGAATGTATTGATGTTTGTCACATTATAATATATGGATGAATACATATGTTAGTGATGCCAGATTAAAATACAACATACAACATACAATAACTTAACAATAAATAAGGACCAAATAAAATTTGTCATAAAGTTGACATGAATAAAGCTCAAAAAATTCACTCATATGTCATAACTAAGGTTACATTCTAATAATGTGTACATATGGCTCTAACCAAATGTTGGCCTTTTATGTTTTACTACATATAATTTCGGTTAAATCTAAAGGTTTCCAGATTGTTCTCACATCATTGTCCATTACACACTAGTAAGACACTTCAATCTTTGCCTATTATAAGCTACAAGTGGAAAGGGTTCAATTTGAGTGAAAGTATTTCACTAGCCCATATGAAGACATGAAATCACAAAAGCATAGGTACTTTACTCCCTTTTAAGGGATGGAGCTTGGGAATAGAGTCATGTTATGCACATGTAAATGGATGATAGAGTATTAAAAGCTTGAAAAATAAATATTAAAAACTTGAAAAATAAATCAAGAAAAAAATCTTTTTAGGGAAAACATTCTGCTTGGATAACACAAATTCATTTACCAACTTGACTCTCGACATCCCCGGTGGAGTCACCAAACTGTCATAATGTATAAATCCATAGACTTATAGCTAGACACAACCTAAACAATCGATACCATTCTTTTTTATTTATGTGTGATTAGCCACCTAAGTGAATTTATCCTTCTAAGGATGTTATAAGCTTGACTAAGAATCCCTAAAAGAATAGGTTCTGGTTCACATTTTAGAATTAAGTTCAAAATTTCAGTTATGTGTGAAGAAGGTTATAGCATCCTTATAATACTCATCTAAGGATGATACTAGTTTAATTTCGTGTTATCCAAGTTTTAAAATATTTTTGTAATTTATTAGTTAATTATTGGAAATTGATTTTAAAATTACTTCAATCATTTGATAGTAACTTAAGATAATTTTCTCACCTTAAAAGTATTCATGGAGACTTGTGTTCCACTCTAAAAAGGCTACGTCATTGAATTCATTAACATATTTTTTAAGAAATCATTTTTTTATAAATCAAATAACAAATTTTTTCAACATTTGGTAAGATTTTATATCAATGCATATCCCCTAATTGTTTGGTGAGATTTTTATTTGAAAACTTTCTTTAAAAATAAAGGTCATTAAATCATCAAATATTTGGTAATATTTAATAGAAATTTGAATCCTCCAATCATTTGGTAAGATTGAAAAATTATTTTTTTAAAAAATTTATTAAGTGCTCCAATCGTTTGGTAGAACTTAATTCGAGTTTTAAATTTCCAATCATTTGGTAGGATTAAAGATAATTTATTTTCATTATGAAATTCTCTAATTGTTTGGTAGAACTTAATTTTAAAATTTTAAACTCATAAAATCATCCAATAGTTTGGTAGGAATTATGAATTTATTATAAAAATTTATTTTAAATATGCATAAAAGAAGAAAGAGAAACAACTAAGGAATATAAATATATATACAAATAAAGAAAAAAAGAAATTATCAAATAAATTAGGTTACAATTGATTCCAAAGCATGTGGGCATTTGCAATTGCGCTTGCCCACTTCAATTTGTTAGTTATTGGAACCAGTTACGATTTGGGCTTCTTATTGGATTGGATTCTCAGACTAGGTCAATCCTTTTTTAATTTTCTCGCTACTTCACCCCTTTATCTTCTTTCTTGTTACTTTATAAAATAGCCTAAGGCTTTACTAACGCCCCACACCTATGGTGATTTTCTTTTTTTTTTTTTTGGTTTAAACAAAAATCAAATAGAAACCTAAAATATATATACTCGAAACTCTAAAAAATTTTTTGCCAAAACTTTTAGTTGAATGTCTCTCTTTTATGTTTCTTCTTAACTCATTTCCTCAACACAAAACTTCTAAAAGAAAATCCTAATTATCTAAACCCAAAATATTAGAAAAGACTATAAGAAAAACTTTTAATTTTGTTGCTTTTTTTTCTACTATTTCTCTCTTGATTTTTCTGATTGATTCTTGATTGTATCTAATTGATCCTAATAGAATTTTTTATAGGCCTCTAATCTCAATTACAATAGTAAAAGAAGTTTTCTTGGTTTGAATCTTCTAATCAACTCCAACCTTTATTTTTAGTCTAAATTCACCTTTCAAACTAATTCTCTTTTACAGTCACTTTTCAATTAAAACACTTTCAATTTAACAATCCAATTAGAATTGAATACTTTTTAAGTTTCAACAAAACAATTCTTTCCCCTTTTTTATTTTTTAAATAATAATAATAACTCTAAACTAAATACAATACCAAAGATAAATAAAACAAATTTAAAGCCTAATCTTAAAATATAAATTAATCCCGAGCTAAATGGGGTGACTATAATCATAATTACGAAATGCCTTCCTCTCATAATTGATCAAAATTACTTTTATACCCTTCTTACCATAGTTATAGAATTACCCTTATGGATAATAATAAGTGAACATGTGGTATTTTATTTTAAAATCAATAATATATTTTTAAACAATCCCTTTGATAATTATTATAATAACACTTTATCTATTTGATATGATATCGATATATGTCTAAATTTACTACAATACCTTTTTATTATAGTTATTAAAATACTTCTCACTTATAATTAGTTAATATCACTATAATATTCTCATACAATAATTAAATAAATATCCCTTCTACTATAATTAGCTAAAATTATTACAATACCCCTTTTATTAAAATTACAAAAATATCTCTAACATAATTAACCAAAAATTACTATAAAGCCTATCATATAATAATTATACAAATGCTTTTATGAGTATTACATAGGAAGCTGACATGTGACATTATTTTTTCAAAATTGCTATAATACATTTATAAAATTATATATTAAAATTTAACATAATATAAAATTAACTACATATTAAATCATTAATATATCCTTGCTATTGCTTTATAAAAATTTTATATGTGACATTTTATTTAAAATTATTATAATATCCCTATTAAATTATATATAAAATTTTAATATAATATAAAATTAACTACGTATTGCTTCATAAATACTTGACATGTGGAATTTTGTTTAAAAATTGCTACAATACCTTTTATTAAATTACTTATTAAATGTTAAATAACATATATTAAAATAATTCCCTAGAAATTACTATAATGCTCTGTTGTTTATTTAATATGATGTTGACATGTATCCAAATTTATTATAATACATTTTTACTATAATTATGAAAATATCGCTTTTTTCATAATTAGTCAAAATTATTGTAATACCATTTTATCATAATTATAGAAATGCCCATCCCACCATAATTGACCAAAATTATTATAATATCTCCCTACCATACTTACAAAAATGTCACTCCACCATAATTGATCAAAATTACTATAATACTCTTTTATTATAATTACATAAATGCCTTTTATAAATATTTCATAAGAAGTTAACATGTGACATTTTATTTCAAAATTACTAAAATGCCCTCTTACCATAATTATGAAAAGATTCATTCTATCATAATTGAGCAAAATTACTATAATACATCATATATTATACTTATGAAAATATCCCTCCACTATAATTATTTAAAATTAATATAATACATTTAATACCATAATTACATAAATGCCTTTGTGAATGTTTTATAAGAAGTTGACATGTAATATCTTATTTTAAAATTATTATAATGCTCCTATTAAATTACATATTAAATTTTAACGTAATATAAAATTAATTACATGTTAAATTATTAAAATACCCTTATCATTGGTTTATAAATTAGACATGTGACATTTTATTAAAAATAATCAAAATTAAATGATTAAGTAAATTAAATAACTATAATTTCTACTAAAATAAAATATTAAATAATTCATATTTTAAATAAAAAATATTTAATCCCTAACATAACATAATACACACTAATATTCATTTAGAAAATATCCCAATATTTTCATTTTATTTATCATGTAAACTCGACACATTAAAAGAAACATTCCTCTTATTCTCTAAGTTTTGTGTGCTAGTAGTCTAAAAAAAATCTAGCATGGATTAAATTTAAACAACAATAAATGTGGAGGGTTGAAACACAATTTTAAAAAAATTTTCAAATACAAGTGTCCTTTTCTGAAAAAGCCTGTTAAATAAATTTGCAACAAATTTTTTATTGGCTAAAATAATATTTTATTAAAATAAATTTTTATACTTTTATTACACTTAAATAATTTTTCAAATATTAATTTAAATTCAAATAAATTCTTTATTTTTAATTTACATCTCAATAATATTTAATCTAAATTAATCTTTTATATAAGTAATTTTGTTTAAAATAAAATTTATTTAGATATAAATTAAAAAATAATATTTATTTGGGTATAATAGTAATTATAATATTTTTTTTATCGATCACGATGTCCAATGGTGGAGTTGGGAGCAGCCGCAGAACAAATTCCCCCGACTCCAAACCGCACAGTATTTTCATAACCTCTTCTTTTCAAGCAAACCTTCAACCCTCTTCACCAAGAACCCTAACAAGCCTCTTCAAATGTAATCAAATCCCAGTGACACAGATTGAAACCAGAAAACCCCCTTGAAAAAGAAGAATAAAAATAAAAAAAATGCCCTGTTACTCAGCTATATTTCAGGGCTATCTCAGGACAACCATGTCTCTGAGAACCACTTGCCTCCAACTCAACAATAACCCTAAAACCTTTTTAAAACCTTCTTTCTTCTCCTTTCACTCCAGGACTCAATCACTGGGTTCTTTCCGGCGTTTGCATTTGAGGCATGACCTCGTCACCTGCTCCAGGCCTGGGACCGCTGCTGCTTCCTCCAGAAGTCTTGCCTTGGATTGGAGGAACACTGCTTTGCCTTATTTGCAACTGCAGCAAATCTCTAATTATGGCCGCTATGCTTACCAGGATGTTTCCAGTGATGACTCGGACCATGAATTCGGGTCTCCACAGCCTCAAATGGTTGGTTTTTTATATACCTTTTTGTTAGATTTGGGTAAATTTCGTTTTTTTTTTTTGTTCTCTCTTGTTCTTTATTTTTGCTGTTGTTGAGCTAGTGGGTGGAGGGGAGTTTCTGATACCTTTTAAATCTTTTTACGAATATCATTTTTATGAATAGTTGGTTTACTAACTTGGGACTGTTTTCCTTGCTTCTCAAGTTTGTCTTGAACTTATTTTCTAATGAGAAATATGTTCTCCAAACGCTAACACAGCTAAGCACATCACCGTACTTTTTTTTTTCAATTTTAATTTTCAAGCATGAATTTGTTGGTCTACAATGTGAAATGCCACCTTAATTGTCAATTTATTTTTGGAATTAGAAATTACATTTTAAGAGGTATATTGCTTCGTGTAAATGTGGTTAATAATTAGCTGAAAATTGTAGTTTAAGAGACTGATGTTGGAGTTTTCGACTTGCTGTTCTGGTCTTTGATGGAATGGTCTTCTGTTCCATATCAATTTTAATACGCTTTCTCAGTTCTCGCCTAATTGGGCATTAAAGTTTCAATTTAATCTACTCTTTTAAGTGTTCAATCTGTGCACATGAGCTATTGCTCTTCTTAAACTTTTGCACTTAAGTATCTATTTCACACATGTCCAACTTGATATGAATAACTGTGTGTTATTTGCAGATGATGTATTGGCAAACTAGCTAAGATTATGGTTAGTAAGTCATGGTAGTCGTGAGAATATGACAGAAAGGTTTCATGTTAGGTTGGAATAACATAGAATGCTTAGGATTTAACGACAATTAATTTCAGAGGTAGAGATGAGAATAAATTGAGAAAGATGGCCATGATAACCTAGAGTTATTATTTTTGTTATCTCTGATCATCTGATCAATTATCTGCAAGGAAGAAGAGATTGAAGAGGATGCCAATGAAGCAAAGAAATTCAGTTAGAGTTTTTTGTGAGTGGTTGCGACTATGGGAATGCATGCGATGCTGAATAACCAAAATCTTATGAAATAGTTGTAAGAACAGCGCTGTTTGTAATTGCGGCACTAAGTGATTAGAAAACAGCTTGTTCTTAAACAAGTTATGAAAATGAGAAATTTTAGATAGATTTATTGTTATGGTAAAAGTGATACAATGAGAAATTAATCCATTTAAAGAAGGGGATGAAATACCTGTTAAAGAGGGGTTATAGAAGGATTTTAATACCTGTTAAACGCATTATCTGGTGGTGTGAGCTAGTGAATTAGAGCAAGTTGAATGAAGAAATAGATTGAAGATAGGCCAGAATAAATGGGTGAAAAGACAAATTGGGCTTACACTTCTAAACACTTTGGGGGTCACGTGGCTATTTTAATATCCTGCCTTGTCAATCATTTTCTGCATTTATTATCATTTCGTAAGTAGTTACTATTGATGATATCATAACAAAAAAAAATATATATATTGGTCAATTTACGCTTTTTTAAAATTTCCCCTGAATTTAGCGGTGTTGGGCTGTGTGCATGTTCTCCTTTTCAGATCATTAGATCTTTTTATTGCTTCAAAAGTTACTTATTAATATATCCTATTGTAATAAAAAATTAAGTCCAACACTGCTTCGTTTCAAGATTAAGTTGTAAGTTTTTCTCTTCTACCTATTGATGGTTGGTTGCTATAATTTTGTGCTTCATGTTGGTTAGGGTGCTTCGACCCTTGACAATATTGATGAATGGAGATGGAAATTGACTATGCTTCTGCGTAACAAAGATGAGCAAGAGGTGGTATCTAGGGAGAGAAAGGACAGGCGTGACTTTGAGCAACTTTCAGCTCTAGCAACTAGAATGGGCTTACATAGGTATCTTAAGTTCTCTCATTGCATGTATATTGTATTTTTTTAATTTCTTTTTTCCCCCAATTTTTGCTATTGCGTCTGAGTTCTGTAATATAATCTGTCTTGGCAGCCGTCAATTTGCAAAAGTAGTTGTTTTTAGTAAACTTCCACTGCCAAATTATAGATCTGATCTTGATGATAAGCGCCCACAAAGAGAGGTACTTCTATCCAGTGCTTGCCCATTTTGTTTCTTTTGTCTGTTGAATGTGTGTGTGAACAGAGAATGGACTTGGTTCTACTTGAGCTTTTTAAGGACTTGCTTAATATTCATAGTGTCTTTGCATAAAATGGGCAATTTTTGTTGAAAACTAAATGAAGTCTTTGAGTAGTTCTTGATACTATTAAATATTTTATCATTTTGCCCATCATAAAGTTTTTACCTTTCCATCAGGTAATCTTACCTTTCGGCCTGCAAAGAGATGTAGACCTTCACCTCAAAGCTTACCTTTCTCATAAGGATATGAGCAGAGGTAGCTTTTCAGATAAACCTTGGTCAAGATCATGTGCTGGTGGAAGAATTGCTGCAGATGAAGTACCTATTGAGCATCAAGAGTTCTTTACACAAAATAGTGATGTTATGGAGAGAATTCTTCGGCGGAGAAGTCTGCAACTACGTAATAAGCAACAAGAATGGCAGGTTTGTTTTTATGATTTCTTTTTGTCATGCATAGTAATCCTAGGTCCTATGAAGTTGCTTTTTGTTATTAAGATATTTATTTATAATATATGACATATTTTCCCCATCAGCATGGGTCGCATCTCACATTCTGTTTGTGCTGTCAGTGCCTATTTGTGTTGTCTGTGATTTTTGATGCTTTCCTTGCACTTGTTTTACTTCATTATGGATTTGAAACATTTAGAGTGTTTTTGGATGAAGAATTTTGAAAGTTTGAAGATTTTTGAAATGAAGGCATTTTAAAATGCATCAATTTCAAAATTCAACATTTATGATTGTATTGTTTGGATAAATATTTTTAGAAAGAAATTTTGACTATTGAAATTAGATGAGATAAAAAATAATAATAAAAGAAGAATAATGATATTAGAGATAATAAAAAGAAAAATATAAAAAATGCAATATGGGTATCAATAGATTTGTCAAAAAGTATAAATATTATTAATAATATGAAAAAAATAATAAATAAATATATTTTATTTAAGCAAATGATATTTTGTTTTTGAGTTTAGTATTTTATGGTGGGTCATGTGCAACAAAGTAAGGGAAGGATTGGAAGAATTTTGAAAAACCACCTCTTTAGGTGGGTTTTCAAGAGGGAATTGAGTACCTCAAATTTTCTGTTGAAATTCCTCCTAAATTTTGAAATTCTCCATTTTTTCCAAACAAGGTAATTGGGTTTTAGACTTTTGGAATATCCTGATTGAAATAAATTTCCATTTTGAAATACCCTATCCAAACGGACCCTTTGGTCCCCGTAAATTTGGAAACAAACAGAGAATATATGCTGTGTGTGCATTTTAATTAGGAAATGTTTGTATTTGCTCTCATGGAAGGCTTCTGGTTCCTACTATAGTCCTTTTGCAATTTGAACCAGCTATCAGTGCATGTTGAATTTTGGAATGGCTTATTATTTTTTATGGAATGCCTTTTCGTCTCTGACTTTCTCTTTCTCCTGGATTTCCTCTGTTTCTCTCTTATGTATTTTATAACCATGCTTGCCTCCTCCATTCAATAGCTGAAATGTCTGCTAATATGTATCATCTATAGGAGTCCCCTGAAGGCCAAAAGATGGTTGAATTTCGTAGAAGCCTGCCTGCATATAAAGAGAGAGATGCATTGCTAAATGCTATCCAACAAAATCAGGTGAAATTTGATTCCATTATAATTCAGTTTTGTTTCCTTTTGTTACCATTTTATGTAACATATTTGTAGGTCTATGTTGGAATTGATTCATGAAAATTGTGACCGGTACATGTTGTAACCCACTAACCTTGACATCCAATAAAAATACTGATCCATATGAAGTTCCAAATTGATGTGTTGATCCCCTAGCAGGCATCTAATGTTCCTTCAACCAAAGGAATGAAGATTAAAAAAGGAAAATATTATAGGATTTATGCCATAAGAGAATTGATCAGTTCCCTTCCCTTTGTTTTGTATCATTTTTTTGCTTAATCTTTCCTTCCAGAATATTGATGTAAAAAATGGTGTGATGTACCTTAGGATTTAGGAATAAGACTAAAAGTGGAGTAGACAAGTTCCTCTGATTTTAAATACATTCTTGTTCTCATGGCCACCCATATTATTTAAGAAATTTTGTAGTGTTCTATATTCTGTAGGTACTTGTGCATTCTTCTGTACATTTTTGAAAAGTTATTGATTCTCTGTGTCTTGATCTTGCAGGTGGTTGTTGTCTCTGGTGAAACTGGCTGTGGTAAAACTACACAAATTCCTCAGTACATATTAGAATCTGAGATTGAAGCTGCTCGTGGAGCTTCCTGTAGTATTATATGTACTCAGCCTAGAAGAATATCTGCTATGGCTGTCTCCGAAAGAGTTGCTGCAGAAAAAGGGGAGAAATTGGGAGAATCTGTTAGTTTCTGTAATTATGTCATTTATCTTATTTGAAAGACTAATGCTTGTGAATTAATTTGAATATTTTTGCCTATTAAAATTAATGTTATATTATTCTTGAAAGGTTGGTTATAAAGTACGCCTTGAGGGAATGAAAGGGAGAGACACCCGCCTTCTTTTTTGTACAACTGGCATTTTACTTAGGCGACTACTTGTTGATAGAGATTTGAGAGGTGTAAGTCATGTTATTGTTGATGAGATTCATGAACGTGGAATGAATGAAGGTGAGTTTGGTGTCTTGTTCTGAGTTTTATACTGTTATAGTGATATTGTTATGGCATTAACCATCAGTTGCATATCTTTCAGATTTTCTTCTTATTGTGTTGAAAGATCTCCTTCCTCGTAGGCCAGAGTTGAGGTTGATTTTGATGAGTGCAACCTTAAATGCCGAGCTATTTTCTTCTTACTTTGGTGGTGCCCCAACAATCCATATTCCGGTAAGTTCTGTTATGGTAATCTGAATATCGTATCTAAAGTATGAGAACTCAATCCCATAATTCCCCTGAGTGATTGATGGTGTGTTTGTGATCATTGTGGTGGATTCCTTCACCATCGACAATGTTCCTAATATCATATGCCATTATGGTGATTTAAATTGTAACAAATTTATGTTTCTTTTTGTGTAATGTGTCTGTCAACTAGCAGTTGCTTTGTCATTTGCATTTGAGTTCGTAATTAAGCAAGTATAATTGGGCATGAATCTAAATGAATTTTGAAAATTCTGCTGGGGTTCCTTTTGGTGCCTGCCATAATTCATGTTCAGTAACAACCATAGACCAGCATTGTTGATCACTGGTTTAGCAGAAAAAATGGTCAGAGAGGGTGACATAATGCATGAGAAGATAGTTCAGCATGACTAGATGAAAGTATGCTGAGTGACAAGTACAGAATATGGTGGTGTTGAGTCCAATAGAAAACTTACAAATAATGAATGTGATTGTGTTAATTATTTGGTTGAAAATAAGGTTTATTATGGTGACAGATAATGTAATTAAGGAACAGAATCAAAGTCTAGGTATGTACTTTTAAAACTTATATCTTAGTTGCCAAAATCTAGTAGCTTAAGTATTTACCAGTTTTCTACATTCTTTCTTCATTGGAGTGCTTCTTTGTCATGCATGTTAATATACTTGTTTGCAGGATGCATTAACTCATTAGTAGTGTATGAAAAGTTGAATGTTTGATGGTGGAATTTACACTTTTCTCATTGCACACTTAACAAGGCTTGAGAGAGAAGTGTACTCTAAGGACTGTGTTTCTTATTGAAAAAGTTACATACAAGCCCCACATAGAATAAAGGTTAAGCCCGGCATCAAGATGGGAGCATATTGGTGTGATTCAAACAGAGAGATTGGTTGTTGTGAGATTCTAGTGGTGGAAAGGGTTTGGAAAACTATAGCGGAGGCATGGTGGAAAAGTTTTGTGAGAAACAAAATTATCGTGAATGTTATAATATTGAGATAACTCGTATAATGATAAAATATATTGGTAAAACAAATTGGTGTTGAAAGTGATGTTAACATTTTAACATAAATTCTGTTATTAATTACATTTATCTTGTTTTATAATTTTTATTTCATTAATTTTTATTACTATATTTTTTGTTTTAATATTTTATGATCATATTATAATTAAATTATGATACAGGATGTGTGGTGATATTATATAAATCAATAATAATTAAGTTTTTCAAAAAATTTCCTTACGAATAATTTCAGTCTTTTCAATTTCTTTTTTTAGTATGTTGAACTCCATGTATTTTTCTATCCACAGAGTATGTTGAGTACAGAATAGTTATAATAATGTTCTTATGCAATTTAATGACTAGTTTTGTGGCTCTAAATGTTGTAATAGAAAGCATAAGAATATGATTGAAATTAAGTAAAATAATAGTTATATAAGGGAAATCTTGCCCCAATTTCTTAATTTTTTTGTTATCATTTTGCAATTATGTTGTGGTAGAAAGAATAAAGATGTAATTGGAATTAAATAAAAATAATAGTGATGTAAGGTCATCTGAACCCAAATTTGCTGTGTTTGGGGCAGCCACTATCTTTAGGTACCACTGCATTTTTCTATAACTCAATGGCCAGTGATGACATTTGTCCTCAATTGCAATTGGGTTGGGACTGAGGCAAATGCGGCACATTGCTGTGTTTTGGCTGTAAATACAACTCCTAAAGAGCCCTTTGTGCTTGGGGGTGTAAACCACAGGTCATATTTTCTGTTAGATGGTAGATAAAAAATGTAATTATTTTATTGGATTCTTTATTCCTTTTAGTGGAAAACATCCCAAAAGTGACACCAATGCGAGTAAGATGGTGAGCATCTGTTGTTTCATGGTGAGTTGGCTTGTTATGAAGAGAATTATGCTCAGGGTCAGCTTTTGAAATATTCACGAACTCATACAGTGTTCATTTTTGAGCTTAGGGTGCTAAATTTTGGGAAATTTTCTATTTCCTGCCTTGGGTTGAGTAATTTGATGAAGAGAAATGGTTTTACTTGTTGGCAGGTAGAACTCTTGTTTCGGTGATTTGAGTCGACATTCATTTCCTATTTGCTTCATTGGCCTGAAGAACTTTTTTCTTCTTTTGATCACTAATTAAACCATTTAAGGAGATATGGCTTGTTGATGTTCGATTTGAGGTTTTTGTTTTCTTATTTGTTGTTCCTGTATGAGTGTTTGGTTTTCCTCTTGCTGGCTTTTTTGTGTTCATTTATTTAGCTAAAAATAAATTTAAGAAAACTAAGTTTTGAATGCTGGGTACTCTAGACTTACCTCGTTTTGTCTTTGCACCCCCAACTCTTTCTTTCTTTTTTACCGTGCTGGGGGTGTCTGTTTGGTGGTTTATTTTGTTTTTCAGGGTTTTACATATCCTGTCCGAGCGCATTTCCTCGAGAATATTCTAGAGATGACTGGGCACAGGTTAACTCCATATAATCAAATTGATGATTATGGTGAAGAAAAGATGTGGAAAATGCAGAAACAGGCCCAATCTCTTAAAAAGAGGAAGAGTCGGCTAACTTCTGCAGTTGAGGTATTGAAAATTTTGCAATGTAATCTATTGTTTGTTGCATGGTTTTGGTTGTGAAAATTGTTGTCAACTTTGGGAGTGCCTGTTTTTGGAAATTTCATCTCTGCCCCTGAACTTTTGGACAGGATGTACTTGAAATTGCTGACTTCAGGGGGTATAGTTTGCGAACTCGGGAGTCTTTATCCTTTTGGAATCCCGACTCAATTGGTTTCAATCTCATTGAGCATGTTCTTTGCCACATGGTAAAGAAAGAGAGGCCTGGTGCTGTTTTGGTTTTCATGACTGGTTGGGATGACATCAACTCTCTAAAAGATCAGCTCCAGGTTCATCCTCTCCTAGGGGATCCTAGCAAGGTGTTGTTGCTTGCATGCCATGGTTCCATGCCTAGCTCTGAGCAGGTAAATACACTTTTTACTTGCTTATCTTATGCATACAGTTAGTCCTATGGTTAATCTACGTACTCTGGGGAAGAAGGATGTTTCCCAATAGGTTGAACTCATTTGTTCCTTTCTTTTTCTAAAAGATGGAGATACTTTTTACTCAATTTAGATGTTTTAACCATGGTTTGAAAGGTATTTGACGTTCTGTTATAAGACTAGAGCATGGTTGGCAATCTGCAGCATGATGTTACCCATGGCTAAGTATGTGAGCAGAAGATTCTACTGTGCATGTACTTATACTGCATTTTTTGTTTTCTTGATTTGTATGAATTTCTTTTGGTGAAAAGAATGTGTCTGATAGTCATTCATAGCTTGAAATAGTAATGAGTTATGCCTCCTTTTCCACTCTAAGAGAGGCAGAGATAATAATGTTGTTCATCTCAAGCCTGAATTGAGGCCACCAAGGTGTAAAATCTGAATGGGTTCAAGCCTCCTTGGTTTGATGAGTATAGAAAATCTGATTGTTATTGTGTCAGACATGCCTTAGATGGAGATTGCCAAAATATGATGGGATGGGATGCATATTTCAATGGAGAGGTGAAATCTCCCTTCACTTGCATGAATCTGGTTATGAAGGGTTTAACTGGTCAATAGTCATTTACTGCCAAAACGAAATTTAAGTCTTAAACTATCGTTCAGTTTCATTCATCTCTTTCCTATCAAGTCACTATATTTAAATATAAAGTTTTTCACGTGGAAGAGCTCAATTATTCTTTATTAATTTTTGTTCTAATTTATTCTCTAAAATGGGCACCATGGTCTTATTGAAGTTACATCTTGTTATTATATCTTCCTTGGTTGGTTGGAGAGAGAATGGTCGTATTCATTAAGTTCTCTTCTGTTTCTTCACCCTCCTTTCCCTCCCTATATGTACATATCTAGCTTTTCATGTAGGAGTCAAGTTTTGCTTTGAATGTTCTTATATTTTTGTTATATTTTCCTTTCTTAAAGCGACAGCCATGGTTTCAGTAAAGTTACTTCTCGACATTATGTCTTGCTCTTGGATATAGAATGATGATATTCATTAACTGTACTTTGGGTTGTTTGCCTTCCTTTTCTTCTTCATTTACAATTTTCTCTTTCACGTTTCTTGGAATGCAGAGGTTAATATTTGAAAAGCCTGAAGTTGGAGTGAGGAAAATAGTTCTAGCTACTAATATGGCCGAGACTAGTATCACTATCAATGATGTGGTTTTTGTGGTTGATTGTGGAAAGGCTAAAGAAACATCCTATGATGCACTAAATAATACTCCTTGTTTGCTTCCATCTTGGATATCAAAGGCTGCTGCCCGGCAGGTAAGATTTCTGATAGTTATTTAATTACTATATCTGCAATTATGGATTTACATTTGAAGTTGGATTACTTTATGTATCAGCAATATTGGATTTTACTTCAGATAGTTTCTAATTTCTGGATTCTGTGGTAGATACAAATTGCTGTACTTAACTGAGATTTCTTAATATTGTATTGTTGTTACTTGTTAAAAAACCTAAAAGATAAAGAAACCTTTGTTTTTCTCAAACTGAAATGTCCATGTGCTTGAAGAAACCATCTCATTCATTTTTATTTTTTGTGGTCCAATGTCCTTTTTGAAGTACATGTCCTTTTTGCTGATTTAGGTGATTTAGACCGATATGCTATGAAAATAGAATTTATGGTAATTTCCTTAGGAACTATTGTTATCAATTTTCATGCAGTCTGGGGGAATTTCTAACCTTTTATGGTTATAGCATCAGTATTCTATTTATGCCTAGAGCTTGCAACCTGATGTAGACCGTTAACAATGTTTTGTCATGAAAATGTTTGCTGCTACTTAGTTGAACTAATTTATGGTGACCAGTTTCTTTTGGCCCATTAATTTTACTTTTCTATTGGAAGTTTGACTTCATTATCTAGACTGTCATACTAGTTTCTGTTTTTGTTCTTTAGAGAAGGGGACGAGCTGGTCGTGTTCAATCTGGCGAGTGTTACCATCTCTATCCCAAATGTGTTTATGATACTTTCGCTGATTATCAACTTCCAGAGCTTTTAAGGACACCATTACAGTCTTTATGTTTGCAAATCAAAAGTCTAGAGCTTGGAGGTATCACAGAGTTCCTGTCTAGGGCATTGCAGCCTCCAGAACTTCTGTCGGTAATTTGCACTTACTTCTACTGTGGCAACTTGGTATTATCCATATCATATTGTACATATTGGTTTTATGCATTTTGTTTCTTTGTAGGTACAAAATGCTGTTGAATATCTGAAGATTATTGGAGCTTTAGATGAGAACGAGAACTTGACAGTGCTAGGTATGGGAATTAGTTATTTTAGAGGACCATAGGTTTTCTGATATGGATGTAAATTTCTTTGACAAAGGAGCCACTATGAATCATGGGTTGTGACCTTGCAGGACGCAACTTGTCAATGCTTCCAGTTGAGCCTAAACTTGGAAAAATGCTGGTTCTGGGGGCTATTTTCAACTGTTTAGATCCGATAATGACTGTTGTTGCTGGGCTCAGTGTCAGAGATCCATTCCTGATGCCATATGACAAGAAGGATGTAAGTTTGTTGTCTTGTTTCTAGCATAATTTTTTTTAGTGTGAATTTTAGTATGAATTTTTTCCTGCATCTTTTTGTAAGTTTGTTTTTTGTTTCTAGCATCAATTTTTTGAGTGTAAATTTTAATATGAATACTTTTATCTTCACTTTTCAAACTTCAATGCAATGAGTTTACTATGTTATTTTAAGATGAACGTATTTTTTCTTTTTCTCTTCGTTTCATTCTTCTATATTGTCAACTTCTTTAGTATATCATAAAAATTTAAGACTTTCTGGGCCGTAGTTTTCTCCCCCATTGACTTGCAATTGGTATTAACTTTAATAATGGAATAAGGTTAAGGTAGATGATAGGTTCAAACTTAAAAAGGAAATATTAGTTGTGTAAACCTGAACTGCTGAAATATATAATTGACCAATTCAGATGTTATTGGCTTAAAAGATTTCACACTATAAACTTAGGCTGTGTTCTTTAGTATTTAATTACTTTTTATTTTTGGACAAAGCATATCCTCTCTTATATTGAATTCTGACATTGATTTCTGTTGTCCTTTTTAAGGATAATAGCTGATTTTTCCCTTGAACTTTATCCACAACTGTAATTCACCCCTCCAACTTTTATTGCGTACAATTAAGGCTACAAACTTCAAATTTTGTTAATCAGCCCATAAACATTAATGGAATGTGGAATATTCCGTTGACTTGCTTGTTTAGCAAAATATTGAGTTAAAGTAATGCTGAATAGTTCAAAATATGTCTAAGGAGACAGGATATAAAAAACGGTTACTTCTTCAAAAATTAAAAAAAAGAACATGGTTTCCATTCTTTAAGCCAAGAAGCTTGTGATACAGCTGAACCAATTTCTTTTCTTTCAATTCTTCTGGCTTTTTTTAGCTTTTAAAAATTTTTAGTTGTTATTCTTTGTTGTTTTGGGTGTTTTTAGCTTTCATCTTTTTGTCCCCTATTTCAAATGGTTTCTGGAATTTTTTTTTTTTAATTTCAAAAGATCCATCTTAGGCAAGAGGGAAAAGAAAGAAGGGAAAAATGAACATTTTGCCACATAAAATATATTATAATTATAATTATAATTTTTTATAAAATAAGATGTGGGCTGCCAATAAAGCCAAAAGAACAGAGTTAGAGGTCTGTTATTTTTCATTGAATACTTTGCATTTGTCATCAAAGTTTAAGAATGTGATTGCATAGAAACAAAAGTATATATAGTCAATTGACTGAAAAGTTGGATGGATGAATTTCAGTTTTGAATAAAGTTTGGGGACAAAATCAGATATTATCCCTACTTTTTAGAATTAATCATGCTGTTTAGATACAGAAGAATTTTGTTTATTCAAACGAAAAAGGAATAATTTCCTGAATTCCTCATTTAATATTATGTACCCTTTTAGTTTTGGGCATGTTTTGCTGCTAGCTACATGGAATCCTTTATTGGTTGTGTGGCCTATCTACCTCCTTTCCATTTGGTTAACATCTCTATATTGCATTTCACTTTATTTGCCACAGATGCATGGAAGAATTAAATTGGTTAATGAATTTTTTTTATTATTTTTTTGGGCATTAGTAATGTACGAAGTTGCACCCGAACATTTGGCTCAAAGGTGGAATGCCTCCCCTTGCTCAAAGAGCTTAGTTCAATCCTCCTATTCCCCAATATAAAAAAAGAAAAGAAAAGAAAAATATGATGCTCGTTACTTTCTGTTTTTTTGTTTTTTTTTGGCTTTTATGATGTGTAAATGACATTTGTTTCTTTAGGACTTAGGAGGATTTATGCTTTTGATGTTTATTGATGCAAGTGGTGAAACTAGAACAATGTTAGATCTGGAATTAAATAAAGTGTCAATTTCTTAAACACAAAAAGGTGCAATGACCTTTTAATCTTCCTGCTCACTGTTGCAGCTTGCTGAATCAGCAAAAGCCCAATTCTCGGGCCAGGAGTACAGTGATCATATTGCACTTGTCCGAGCCTATGAGGGTTGGAAAGAAGCTGAAAGAGAGCAGTCTGGTTTTGAGTATTGTTGGAAGAATTTTCTATCTGCACAAACTCTCAAGGCCATTGACTCTCTAAGAAAGCAGTTCTTCTATTTGCTCAAGGATAGTGGTCTAGTTGATCAAAATATAGAGAACCGCAATAAATGGAGCCATGATGATAATCTCATCAGGGCAGTCATTTGTGCTGGCTTGTTTCCAGGGATATGCTCTGTTGTGGTGAGTTTTGTAGCATTTCCCTTAAATATTTGTTCAGTTTATCTTATTATATTTTTTAGAAGAAAATGGTTTCTTTTATTTCCTAATATGAATCTTTCTCTGTGTTTGAATTTGATGTTAATGTTTATTCATGCATGTGTGTTTGGATATTTGTTGGCTCGCATGTCATGTGCATTTATTTATGCATCTCTGTCCTTGTTTACATATATTTCTCATGTAACTTGAACTTCTAATGGGTAAGGACGATAAAAGAGTATTTGTTTTTAAAGAGGTATTTGTTTGGTCAATGTCTCAAAGTTTATCCATCTTTGAGGGCTATGAATTTTTTTATGAATTATGCCTTATTTAATTGCGTTCTACAGAACAAAGAGAAGTCAATTGCACTGAAAACAATGGAGGACGGTCAAGTTCTTCTGTACTCGGTAATTTTCATTCTCTTTGGTTTTCTTGTAATTCATTGTTTCTGCTAACCCCTTTTGAGTGGAAAATACCACTTCATCCAAGTGCTAAGTTTCAATTTTCTTATTTATTTATTTATTGATTGATTGATTTTCTGCATAAAGTAGAATTCGGTGAATGCTGGAGTTGCCAAAATTCCATACCCATGGCTGGTTTTCAATGAAAAGGTAAAAGTGAATGCAGTATTCCTCCGTGATTCAACTTGTGTTTCTGATTCCATGCTGCTCTTATTTGGAGGGAACATTTCTAGAGGTGGACTAGTAAGTTGCTCAATTTAATTGTTGTCATTTGCATTTGCTCCATTTCTTCTTGATAGAAGATGCTTTACCTCATTTACTTCAGTCTTATTTTGCCAAAGAATTTATGTTGAATCTTTTCCTGGGTGTTGATAGGATGGACATCTAAAAATGTTGGGAGGATATTTGGAGTTCTTCATGAAACCTGCTTTTGCTGATACATATTTAAGCTTGAAAAGAGAGCTCGAGGAACTAATTCAGAAGAAAGTAAGCATTAAATATGTCTTATCAGTCTAATGTTTGATCAAATCTGCAGGGCTACTTTGATTTTTGGTTTCATATTCACGTGCAATCGAATTTCCTACTTTATAAATCCTAATTTCTCTTCTTGGTGTATGCTATTCTCTTCAATTCCCTGCCAAAAGTTAGCATCCTCATGCATTCATAATTTATCTGGGTGCTTGTGGGCAGCTTTTGAACCCTGCATCAGATATGGAATCAAGCAATGAGCTCCTCTCAGTAGTAAGATTGCTGATCTCAGAAGACCAATGTGAAGGCAGATTTGTCTTTGGTCGTCAGGTGCCAGCATCGTCAAAGAATACAACTATAGTGAAAACACCAGCTATAGGTGGGGTGGATAATTCTAAGAGTCAGCTGCAAACAGTGCTTGCCAGGGCTGGACATGGAGCACCCATCTACAAGACAAAACAGCTAAAGAACAACCAGTTCCAATCCACTGTGATCTTAAATGGGCTGGATTTTATGGGGCAGCCTTGCAGCAGCAAGAAGCTTGCAGAAAAGGATGCAGCTGCTCAAGCTCTGCTGTGGTTGAGGGGTGAAGACCATTCATCTTCCAGAGAGATTGACCATGCATCATTGCTTTTGAAAAAGAGCAAAAAAAGCAGGAGAACTTCAGTTAGTGATACTAAGTGGAGTATTAAGTGGAGTTAACTTGATTCTAATTATTTAAGTGATAATGTGTCATTGTTATCAATTTATCACTGAAGTAGAAAGATGAGACGCCTTTGTTGACAGTGACAGTCCTGATGCACCATTGTGTCAGAGTTCATTCGTGCTACATATAGTAGGTGAATTGGAATTACTGAGCCTATGACTTGCCGACTTTTTAAACCCTTGTTTTTCAAATGGGGTGAAAGGTAATACCCTTTAGAGGTAGAAACTGGGGTGAAAGATCCTTCGGACACTGAAACTGGAGATTTCACCTATCTCAAATTTAGGCCAGGAGAGTGGAATTTTTGAAAAGGCTGTTACCTGTATCGGCTCTCATTTACCAAAATTTACTGCTGTACAAGGTGAGTGCTATTGCTTCATATCTTATTTGTACTGGTGTAGCCATAAAATATAAACAACAATTCTTTTTAGAAGCTAAGAGTTGGCAAGGTAGTTGTAGATGTAAACCACAAGACATTTATATGGTTATTATGTATAATTTCCACCACATCCTTTTCTTTGTATAGCATGATTGAAAAGCCTTTGATCACTGCTTGTAATAAACTTCCGCCTGACTGGGTACAGTCTCTTGTTCAGCCAAGCTGTGAATCCTTATATACTAAAATCAGTAAAGAACATGTCTTTAGACTTTGAGTCATTGATCTTGTAGATATTTTCTACGCATGTTGAGTTGAGCATGGGGATCCTTGAAATTACACTTTATAAACATGAATGTGACTGATTGAGTTTGATAATACAAGTTGTCCTTTCGTGAATTTCTTGTTAATTGCTGATATTGTGTACATTTCTTTAAGTTGGCATCACACAAGTGGGGCCTTACATTTGACTGGTTTTTGCTAAAGTTGCTTTAATATGTTTTGTAGCTTGCACTAATCAGGGAGATAATGCTTCTAAATTATCTAGATATGCAGCATGGATGTGTTGTGCATGCTACTCTTAAATGTATTTTGTTTGTGCAAATGCTCTTTTAATACTTTTCTGAGTCCATCTTGCAAGCTTTTGGTACTCTTAAGAAGGCAAAAATAAAAAAAAAAAGAAAAGAAAAGTCCCAGTTGTGGCTTGTGTATATTTTCGTTTCTGTTATAACTGAAACACATAAGATAAATTTTTACTAGGTTTTACCTTCATTGATGCTCCTAATGAGACAGAACCCTGGCTGAAATAGTTAGTGGCTGTTGGTAGGTATCTCAGTGGGATAGCCTAGGCTTTCTTTTCCATGTGGTTCTTCCTCTCACAATCTCTTCAGTTTTGGAGTTCATTGTCATTTGGAGCAGATGTGTAAAGCTTGGTGAGGGTCCGCTGGGGGATGCATCTCCTTCTAACTCTGCCTGTAATTGTTCCTCGTTATTTTTATCAACTTGAACTCCATCCTGCGATACTCTATCTTCATCTGGTTGACACAGAGATTGAACCGTATCTGAAGGTCTGCATTCCCTTTTATACTCCATCGTGATACTGAAAAGTTGGTAGCCCTCGAGAGAGATTTCAGGGATGGTCTGTGGGAGCAGTGATAGAAAATTTCAAAATTAAGATATTATCTTTTGTTTCTTTTATTGAGGTTGGAACTTGAGTATAGTTTGTAGGATGTATGTGGTTCACCTCAAGCATCCAGTTCACGTACTTAACATTATTGACGTGGTGGTTCATGTCCAAATCAGTCCTCTTGGGCTGCATAAGCAAAGTTACTGTAATCAGATACTTGTCTATTGGGATTCGATTTGCAAAAATTAATACTGTCTGCATGTACAGCTATTAATGGAAGTATTTCAGCTAATTGGAAGAGTGGTTATTTAAGGAGGCTGCATGCATGAAGGATGCATTTTCTTCGCAGTTGCTGATGTTAACATGGATGCATATAAAATGCACAATTACTAGCAGATGAAGCAGGAACATCATGAATTGGGTTCTGTAAAGGAAAAAAAAAAAAGGAGGAAAGGATCCACCTTAAGTTTGCTGTTTTTGTAGTTCGCGGTATTGTCTAATTTTTTTATAGTTCCCGGAGTTTCTTCTTCGATTGCATGCTTCTTAATAAACCAAGGCGAGATCTCAGCTCTAACTTCTTCTGGCATTTTGGAGAGGCGTCTTGTTTGTTGGTTCATCATCACCCAGGTGCTGTCACAGTTTCAACTCCTAGGACAAGTTAAAACCTGTGAAATCTTTAGATAAATATTGATGATTAATGATCAAATTTCTACCTTGTCGCACGGGCATATACTTGTCCGGTGACATGACTTCGGATAAGCCAGTCTCTTCGCATTCCATTTTTTCCTGATGCTCCGACCCATGTGTCAATCTTGAGCACTTCGCCCCTTAAAAAACCCAGTTGATCAGTTATTTTAATGCATCAAAATTGAGGGCCAGTTATTGGTTTGGGTACTGATGCAAAGGCCTCACCAGATTGGATACTGATCAACTTGAAGCTGCATCCTTGTTACCACCCAAATGAGATTATGCCTAACCATCCCATGTGTGGCACCAAATCCGTCACCAAGAAGCCCTGAAACCCAGACATGATTCAGCGCTGTTTCCTGCAAGTTCATCACAAAACATCCAACAACTTAGGCATTTTTACTTTTCGGGAAACAAAAACAGCTATTGCTAAAAAATAAAAAATAAAAAAGGACGTTGTTTCGACCTGAAGAAGGTTAAGGTGGCTCTCCAATGTAGCAGTTTTATCGGGACCAACTTCGTATGACCTTATAACAACTGTCTGTCTGTATCCAACACCTCCTTCGATGATTATTCCTTGCCGAAATGGATCAACCAACTGTTTCTTGGTTGGGATATTTTGTCGTGTTTTTGTTCTGGTGATAGTGCTAACTTCTGCCATTGATGCAACTGAAACCATCCAGCTATTTTTGCTAACAGCAATTGTTTGTATACTTCCATTTACCTTGCCAGCAATTATTCTAGAATATCTACCTACTTTGATGCTCAGCTTTTGCTCTCGACTGTAGGAACATGTAATAGAAAACCTGGTAGGACAGTGGAGCAAGGCCATTTCTGTTTGCGTACCTTTGATGACAGTGTTTTGCTTTCAGATACTGAAAGTTAGAAACAGGAATTGGAAAAACGGTGGCTGTTATAGTAGGATGTTGGTGAAGGTAACAAGGCAATTGTTTCCAAAAGACAAAAAGTTGTTGTCTTTGCACATGCAATTGATGCTACAAAGAGAACAAATCAAGGATAGGTATGTTCTCGAGAATATCTACTTATCTAGGATTGGCTAAGGGAATTGGCTTTTTGGGTCTGTAAATTTGAAGAAAGGTATCTTTGAAAACACCGATGGAGAGCTCAGGAATAACAAAACCATGGCATTTGGAGAGGTATGGCATATATATTTGTCATTGACAGAGGTAGTTTGTTGCTGGGGTTCCAGTAAAAAATGATTTGGATTTAAGGAAAGCGACAGCAATGTAGAAATTTCTTTCAGGTTTTAGACGTCTAGCAGTAGGGGAGTTGTGATTTTGAACAAAAAATTCCAAAGTTTGCATGAATGTTCATGTTGGATACTACGTCCGAAACATGAAAACAACAACCATAGAAACCTCCTCACACGAGCATTAATGTACGGTAGCATGAAGCCCTAGTTCATTACAATAACATTGCACAATGCGTATTTACACACAAAAACAAAACTATTAATATAGTAATATTTAATTGATAGCAAATGCATAATTGTGTTTGGAAAAAAATATAAGCAAATTGTTATCATGAAAGAAATGAAGATACAATATGGTTTAAATTGATAAATAATATTTCTGTAATTATTTAAGCACTAAATGGATATCGTCCCACCGACACTCAACTAAATTTAAAAAATGAAATGCAAGGAAGAATGACCCAAATCAATATTTACTTTACTGATGTAAAAGCTCAAAAGCTCTTAGCAAAGTGAGTCTAAACCTATTGATGTCAATGTTGACATCCTGCTTGTCCAAATACACTGCCTTGAATGCTAACCAACCCTGTTTCCAGACTGAGGATGGATTGCTGAAAACCTCATGCTGTGGTGGATATTGTTGTATCAAGCTACTCTCTTCTGTTTTAATCTTATAATCTAAATACCTTATGTTCATGTCCTTGGATGGCTTTCCGAAAGCGGCCCTGGCCGGCCATTCCACCCCTCCAATGGGAATTATCTGAATCAAAATTGCATTCTCAGGAAGAAAAACCATGTTGGTAAGGCCAGCTCCATGAACTCCCATCATAACATCACAAGAATTCACAATCTCAGCAAATCTTTGTATATTCCCGTCAGCCTCAGCTACCACTACTTCGTAGCTCAAATTTCTTGCCATTCTAGCAATTTCATCTGTATTTGTAAACGTTCTTGTTCTGTTTCTTGAAACAATGAGAAGCCGAGGTCTTGTCTTCCCATCATCCTCCATTTTGATTGCTGTGGCCCTGTTTAAGGAGTATGCACTTCTCAAAAACTGCCTGAAGTCTTTCATTGAATATGGTGATTTTGAAGGATCGATACTCAGCTCTTGAGGACTACGTTTGAGACCAACAATCACACTTGTGAAACAATGGATGTTTTCTTCATTATCAATGTCGATAACCTCGTAGTTAGACAGCTTTTGCAGTAAAATTTGGAACTTGTTAATCCACCACGGATTTCTGTTGGTAATAAGAAACTTGACTTCTCCATCGAACAGTCGAGCAGTCGAATATAGTGGAATGATGATGTCTGTGAAGTCATGGTAATTGTTTCCTGAATATCCTCCAAGGGAAAAGAGGATGGCTGGAACTTTGTGACTTTGATTGCATTGAGGGATCGCAGTGCCATCCACCGCAGGTTTTACTGACCATTTCCTCACCGTACTCATTGCAGTTTCGTCTTCTTTTCGAGTATAAGGTCTGATAACTTGGGAGCTGTTTTCTTCAAGGATGCTTTCTTGGGATGAAGCGGAGATGAAAACAGTAGAGGATTTTGCATCAATCCTTATATCTCCTCCTTTGATCTCACAGAAATCTGATCTTTCTTCTGATTTGCACACAAAATTCATTGTCTTTGATACAGAATCCAAACCTTGAAAAATCAATGTCAAAATCATATAAATTAGTAACAATTGTACCGATCACCAGCAACCAATCTAATTGTCTTGAAAAAGAAAAAAGGGATATTGGGAACTCACGAACTGATAGAGGACCCGAGTAAGGCTTGAAAACAAGGCAGAAGCTCAATGCAATGAGCAAACAACCAAGAAATGCGCCATATCCAAGCTTCTTTTGGTCAGAACGACTAAAGCTTCTAGCAAAAATTGTGTCAAACGTGATTTTCTCACCCATCTTTTCTCTGCACTCAATATCAAACGCTAATTATTAAAGGATGCAAATGCAATTAAGGAAGCCAAGATAAATTCTTTTAAATCTGAAGAGTAGTTTCTTGAGACAGTGGAAACACAAAACGAATGGAGTTTATAAAATTAAAACAATTATATTGAAGGAGGTTGGGGAGGATTTTTCTTTGAATTATTGCTTCCCTAGTTAACTCTAGCTGTGGGTTTTTTTAATTTTTATGGGAAGGGTTTGGAAAAGACCTGGATATTGACTGCTGAGACAACCATGCATTTCAATGATTGGTTTGGTGATTTTCAAACAAATATTAAGAGAATGAATGTGTATATATATATATATATATATGTCCAACTATGGAATCCAGTTTCTGTAGGTATGAATGGTACTCTTTTTTATTGAGAAAAGAAAACACGGATACTTCATTAAAAAAAAAAAGGATATTTGTGCATTTTATTGTTATTGCATTACTACTAAATATATTGATGGTTAGTTTCTAATCATAATTAGTTCAAACCATATAAGTTGTTTATCAAAGTCTTCTATATCTTTTCTTTTTTATTTTTAGCTTTCACCTTATTACTTGTGGATTTAAAATGTACAATTATAAAGATAAATACAATGCATTTAAGCATTTGAATCAGTATTACCTACATTTATTTCCATGTTCACAGAGTTGAGTTCAAATTCTTTTTTCTGCAAAATCAATTAAAAAAAAAATTCAAGTGATTACTATACTATTTGAGACGATATTGATACAATGGATTTTACTAACTTTCGCTTCTTTTTTTTTCATATTATTTATTTAATTTCATTAACTATACGGTTTCGTCATCCATGCATGGATTTAAATTTTAATGCATTACGTAGAAAATCAGATTTAAATTACTTCCCAAATCTTTACTATTTATGAAATGAGAATACAATACAAGATTTTTTTTGGACAGTACTGCACGCTCTAACATACTACACCTAAATAGCGCAATCATCCATTTTCATGGTTAGTCATAAGGACCGAAGTGAAAGGTATCAAAATCTTCATTGATTATAATTGAATTTTGAAAAATATTATGCTGTGTGTGTGAAACAAATGTGTTAAATGAGGAAGCATAGTTTTATATTTTATTTTTTCATTGGAGAGAATTTTATAGTCACTTGTAACTTATAGTAAAAGAAGAGAAAGGGAATCAATATTCAAAGAGAGTGGGCAAATAAATGGATTAAGTCAAAGAATTATTATTAATATTATAAAAGGACATTCAATTCGAAACAAATTAACAATAACTAAAAATATTTGCAATTGCCTTGTTCAAAAATAAATCAATGGGAAATTAAGTTTTATCGGCAACATATTTATTTATATATATTAATTGGTGGAGAGGAGGAAGCATTTGTTAGGTAAGAAAGAGGCATCCAAGCTCGGGGTTTTGTAGTTTGTGACATTTTCAACAATCTGTCTGTTTCCTTTGTTGTTTCGTATAGAAAAAGCTGTATTTTAAAAAGAAAGAAGATTACAAGTATTTCCATTGAACAATAATATATTCTTCTTCACACTACTTCATAGCTTCTAGATGCATGCTATTGTTAAGGGATTGTTTTCACAATAATACAACCCTCCCTCGATTCGTACCTCCTTAAATATTGAATAAATTAAATTATTTGATATTCTTATTTCTCTTTCTTTTTTTTTAATAATATTATATAATATATCCTCATGCCAAGTGGATTAATAATATTATTAATTTCTTTACGAGAATTCAATATATGTATTTGTACCGGTTTGAGACTAATTTAATTTTACATCTTTTTATAATTTTTATATGATTTATATTTGTATAATCTATCGTTGTTCATGCTTTATTTTTTTACATTATGCATGTCAAATTTTAAATTCATTAAAAAAATCTAACTATTTAATTGATATAATAAAATTTTAATCATTAAATATATATTAAAAAAATAATATTCTCGATTGAAATGAAAAAAATATATATCGAATTGATTTAAAACTTTTATATACATGAGACAAGTATAAATATATTGTTAAATTTAATGGTTGGCTTATTAAAATATATATATAAATAGTACATTAAGTTAAAAATGAATATAAAATTTTATATAAGTGTAATTGGATCTCTCATCTATATACATATTACATGAGACTACAAACTTAATTAATTAATTAACTTCATTGAAAGCTTAAAAAAAAAAAAAAGAGAAAAAAGAAGCTTAAACAATTGGCGATTCAAAAGAAAAAAAAGGGAGAACATGTTTGAAATTTTGATGGGTTGGAAAGGAAGTGGTTGCAATGTAGTTATAAGAGAAATTATTTTTTAGTCATCAACTAATTATGCTTTAGAACAATGCCTAACAATATAAATATATGTTTTCTTGGTTTGGACATTTGTCCGTAATTTTATTTAATTTCCCCCTTCTTTACAAGATATGAAAGTTAGCAATCTTAAATTGTTTCAGAAGAAGAAAAAAAAAAAAAAAATCCAGAGAGAGATTCTGTGATTTGGAGCATCTTCCAAAATTATTTTTACCATATCCAGACAAGACACATAAGCAATTTTTGGAAGTTGTTTTAACTACCTTGCTAACTTGCTTTTTGGAGTCAACTTTAGGCAGCAAATTGATGAACTCTCTTAGAAGAGCTGAAATTTTTGAAACTATTTTAAATATTTTAATAAGATATTAATATTTATTGTTTTTATTCAATTTTATTAAAAACATACTAAAGAAACTCAATTTTAAATATGTTTTTTTTTTTTTACTTTTTCTATTATTAACAATATATATACTTTTACCAATTTAATGTAACACATATGCCATATTTGTCAAATCATGAGACTGTTCATTAGTTGTAAATATTAAGCTTCCATCTATTTTGTTGCAAGTCACCTTTACAACTATAAAATCTTGTCTTTATTTATTATTATTATTATTATTTTGAAAGGTAAAAGACGTTTTATTAATGAAACAGAAAACAAGATCTGAACTCCTAAAAGCTCCCATTTTAGCAAGGGAGTCAGCGAAAGAGTTTGCTTCCCCAAATACATGAACAAATGAGATTTTCTTCACTCGGGCATAGAGTTTATATAACTTATTTATAACAACAGTATACTTCCAAGGACTATCAGCTACTGAATTCAACCAAGACATTACCACCAATGAGTCACTCTCAACAGTAATCTCCAGGAGGGGATCAACTTTTGCATCAACTATGATGGAAAGACCTTCAAGAACAGCTAACAGTTCCGCAAGATTATAATCTGTAATTCCTATGCCTTTGGAGAAAAGCATTAGTACCTGACCTTTGTGATTGTGAACATTTCCTGCAACACCTGCGGGGCCTGGTTTACCAATTACAGAGCCATCGACATTTTACTTCCACACGCCTTCAGGAGGAGGTGTCCCTTCGATGTGATTCCAGACTGGTTTCCCCTGCTGCAGAATATCTATATTTTGGATGTTGGAAACAATGTCAATTGAAGTGTAGATTGAAGCAGGGAATTTAGCTTTCAATCACCATCCGAGCCTAATACATATCAAATTAAACAACTCATCGATCAATAGAATCTTTTTGTTGAAAACTTTTTCGTTTCATGCAAGCCATATTGACCAGATGATAGCATTGAACAAGGTTCTCTAGATCTGTCTGCAGATTCTTTTTCCTGCACGCTGACTCCATGATTGGAACAACAACCTCAGAGTTCCCTGGAGAGCACAAGATAGATTCCACTGCCCAGAAAACTTGTTCCAAAATTTCCAAGACAAATGGCATGTAACAAAAAGATGGTTGACAGTTTCAGCTTCTTCATAGAACGGGCACTTGTTCTCCATCTTTCGTCGACAGCCTCTCCTTTGTCGCACTTGCAAGACTGGCATGTATCCCTTTAACGCTTTCTATGCAAATATTTCAACTTTTTGTGGAGCCACACCTTTTCATATAAACTTTTCCGGAGTATCCTCTTGGGATGAGGATTCAACGACTTCAGGAAAGCTTCCCATTGCTCTTTCTCCCAGTTGAAGAGATTGCGCCTTAGCTTTATATTCCATTTCCAACTCAAGCCATCCCATTTGCCAAAGTCCTTTTAACTGCTAGTGCAAAGAGTCACCTAAAGCTGTTTTGTAGACTGTGATTCTCAATCCATCTGTTGTTCCAAAATCGAATCCTGGATCCATCACCTGCACAAAAGAACAAACTTCAATTGATAATGTTAGAAAACTCTCCACTCACTCAAGTGTTTTGTATATCACTCCAGGTTTGAGAAAGAGAATGGTTCAGGCGGGGTGCAGGCCACAAGTTGATGCGAGGGAGTCTATATTTTTCACATATCATTCTCTCCATAGAGAGCTTGTCTCCTTTCCAAACCTCCAAGGCCACTTTGACAACAGGGTCTGGTTGCTGTAATTCAGATTCATAACCCCCAGACCACCATACTCTTTACTCTTGCACATAGATCCCCAATCAACTGATCTCAGCTTTCACTTATCATCACTGTCCCCCCATAGGAACTACCTTTGGATTCTTTTAAGTTCAGAAATTACTCCATGCAGAACCTTAAATATGGACATGTAATAATCTGGCAGATTAGCAAGTACAAACTTTATTAGAGCTACTCTACCGCCTATAGATAGAAACTTACTTTTCCAAAGGCTGAGCCTGTTTCTAAAAGTGTCAAAAACAGGTTGCCAAGTAGCGAGCAGCCTCGGATTGGCCCCCAAAAGAAGACCGAGATACTTTGTAGGTAAGGAATCAGTCCTGCATCTAATCTTTATAGCCCATTCTTCTACAAGTTGAGAATCAACCCTTATACCGAACAAGGCACTCTTATAGAAGTTTACTTTTAGGCCCGAGGCTAGCTGAAAACAATGCAAGATTCTTTTGACTGCCAACAATTGCTCCAGCAGGGGCTTACAGAATATTATCGTGTCGTCAACGAATTGTAAGTGGGAGACTCGTAATTCCCTTGCACCCACCATAATTCCTTTAAAAAGGCCTAAGGAGACAGCTTTTCTGCAACTAGGTTGAAGAGAAAAGGCGATAAAGGATAACCCTGACGCAAGCCCTTTTGTAACATAATTGGATGAGAGGGAGAACCATCAGGACCCAAAGCTTTATCATTACTGCAATCCGATACTGCCTCCCAGAGCTCTTATTTACTGAAAGGAATCTCCAGCTGCTGAGCTTGGGCCCTAGTTAACTTCCTTAGATTTGGGCTTGAGAGAGTAAGAAACGGCCCCTTATCCTTCTTGAAATGATCTCTAAAGTGGCATTCAACAGCTTGCTTGATTTCCTTAGGGGTATCAAGGCGTTTTCCTCTGAAAGAAAGATGACCCAGAAAATTATTCCTCCATCTACTGTTTGCCAAGCAGTGGAAAAATCTGGTGTTTTTAACTACTTCCTGAATCCACTTAACCCTAGCCTTTTGCCACCGGTTTCTTTCTTCAATTCTTTGAAAATGCCACAGTTCTCTCATTTTGACATTCGTGGGAGAATCTTCAAACTTTTTTTTCCGAGTCTGCAATTTCCTTATTTAAAGAATCAATTGTGCCCACAACACCCCCTGTGATATCCATTCCACAATCTGATATTCCTTTTTAGGTATTTCAATTTCTGGAGGAGCCAAAATCCCGCAAAACCATGCACCGTGGAGCTGCTCCATTTCTGATCAACCAATCCACTGAAATCTGCATTATCCAGCCAGTGGTCAAACAACCTAATCGGTTTAAGTCCCCAGTCAACAATATCGATGCCCAGATAGATTGGGATATGATCCGAGAAAGAACCCTCCAAGCTCCATTGATTAATAGATGAGAAAGTCGATACCAATTTGCTGAAATTTGGAACCTATCCAACCTACTCATTGCCGTGTAGCTGCCTTTTCTATAGCAAGTAAACTTTCTTCCCATGAGGGGGAGATCCAACAATTCTGCTACTTGAGTGAAATTAATAAAATCAATTGTTGATCGATCCACATCTGATATTCCAACCCTTTCAGCATCGTTTAGCACCGCATTAAAGTCTCTCACATAAAACCAAAATTCACTATCACTAGTTTTCAGAACTTCCAATTCTTCAAAAAGCGCCCTTCTCGCTAGCACATCATTGGGAGCATAAATGTTCACAAGGTTTACAATGTCCGAGCACTGTCCAAAATTTCCTTTCAGCCAGATATACCGATCTCTAACCATGATCGAATTAATAAGAAAGTCAACCTCAGACCACATGCAACCGCCCAGACATCCCACAAGCATCACAGAAAACAAACTTAATTCCTTTATTTCCCCAAAGTTGGTTTACATGCTGTCCGTGACTCCTTTAAACTTAGATTCCTGTAAGAATATCACTGATGATTCTTCTTTAATTATGAGCTTTTTAACAGCTTTCCTTTTATCTTTTTTACCAATACCCCTAATATTCAAAGACATAATCTTCATATCAACAACAATGAAACCCACAGAGCACAGGAAAGGGAAAATAGGGGCTTACTCATTTTCAGCCCAATTGACTTCCTCATCTTCCAAAGCCATCAACTTTGCAATAATCCCTTCCTCGTCACACTCGATAGAGAGACCCAGCAGTTTCCCTACTTCCATGGTTTTTTCAGCCTCATTTCTCAAGAACCTGTTACAACTCTTTATATCTTTATCTGATAGTGTGGCCTCTTCAAGAATTTGAGACCTCAACTCGACTCTTGCCTTTGCACGATTTGGCAGAACCATTCTACTGCATTTCCTTTTTCTGTGACCCTCCATAGGCCCACCCCTTGATCGCAAATTGAGGTCTAATCTAGTGGAAATCTTCTTTTTCCTTTCGTCGTTTTCTGTTGTTCCTTTGGCTCTAAATTAAGGCTTGTCTCGCACGCCTCATTAATAGTGTCAAGTGAAACCATTGCCCCTTCTCCACTAAGGCTTCAGACAGAACTGAAATATAATATGAAATATAATATGATTGGCACTAAAATATTATGAATAAAATATATAAAAATAATATAATTTAAAATTTTAAAAAATTATAAATAAATTTAATAAAATAAAAAAATTTATATGTTATTTTTTTATATTAATATAAATTATTATAAATAATTTTTATATAAAATATAAAATAAATATATCATGTTATACGACACAATAATATGAATTACAAGCTACGCGGGATCTTGCTAACTCTTGCCACTAGGCAAATTTAGTTTGCCATTGAAATGGGAGTGGGCCCAGAATTGTTTCGCGAGTGGGACTTGCAAAGATTGTCGACAAGTCTATCGTCCCCATCAATTTGGACGACTAGCGCAGATTTGTTCTCCATTGCCAGCCCACCCAAAGAGACCGGGCTCCCTGGTCTAGGCAAAGACCGAAATTCTCCTTGTGGCTGTTTGTTACCAGCATTAATAAGCCAACCCGTCTCCATCATTGCTTTTTGGAACTTAGCTTTTTTAAAATTTGCGGTGCCATTGGATTAGTCCCCGCTGTAGCACCATATTCCAAGGTCTCATTAACACACTGATTGCTCGAGTCAACCGATATCGAGGCTGATTGTGTGACAGGTAGCTTTCCCAGATTACGCTTATCCCAACCAAGCTGGTCGTTTTCGCCGTAGGTATCTTCCATCGGAGCATTGTCAGAGGAGCTTGAATTGGAAGAAGATTCGGTTGGTTTGGCCTGAGGAGTTTTCCTTAATATTCCACAGAAAATCTAGGCCACCTTCCAACGTGATCTTGACATTATAGAGCTTTTCCTTTACCGAAACTGAGATCGAACTTGGGATACATACATCTTTCCTGACCAAGCAAAGTACTCTGTCAACATCAACTCTCTTCTTATTCATGGTACCATCGTCAACCGTAATAAAGCTTCCCCACTTATCTCCCACCTTCTTGAAAAAACCATAGGACCATGCATGAAGTGGTAAATTTTCCATCCTAATCCAGATAAACTTGTCAAAACTGATTAGATTAGGACTCCACGGCTTCATCCAAAACAACCATTCCTCCAACCATGCTTTCCCATCATCAAGCATTCCATGCATTTTGTCCTTTGACTCAATAAGCAACAGAACCATGTTTCCTCCCATAACCGTGACTGAAAATTGCATAACACCTTCACTAAATATATGCTGTTGAAGCATATGAATTGCCTGCGGGTTCTTCACCTCTGCCACCACGCACCTTTCTAACCAGTCCATCCCCAAATCCTCCTCTTCGATTGCAATCTTTTCTTGTCCTTGGTTGTTGTCTTTCAGCGCTATAGCCTGTACATTTGCTTCTCCCAGTTTTGGAACTGTTACATCAATATTTCCCTCATGCGGTTGGTTGTACTAGGCTGGTATACTTCTTCTAACCACATTTGCATAAGACAGTTTAACAGTTCTGCTTGTACCCACGTGCGGGGAAGGACTATCATGGGAAGCATTTCTTCTTACCGCATATAGTGCACTGCCTGTGTTGCTACCCTTCTCATATTTGGCAAGACCCACCCTAAGTTTCCAGCCATTTCATGCAAGACCATCCATTGCCCTGATGACTGATAACGCCTTTCGCAGATCCTTGAAGCAGAAAACCCCAAACTTGCTACGTCGTGAACTTTTCCTTTTAAGGGGAATTTAGAAGTCAAGGATGCACCCATATTGCATAATCTTATCCCACAACTCTGCCTCTCTCCCCCCAAGATGAATATTGTCAACAAAAACAGTGACAAGTCTTTTCTTCCATTGATCAATCTCCATTCAAACATTCCTGAAACCCTCTGCCCGATTGCCGTTGCGCCTCCTACCGAACCCATTACTCTTTCTCACTCTAACACTCATTCTCCCTCCTACTTTTTAGACCAAGGATTTTTTTTTTAGAGTAATTAAATTAAACTGTAAAAGCGTTTTCTAGTAGTAATTTTTCTTTTATTAGTTGAGATAAATAAAAATGGTTGAAATCGAAATATTACTATGAGATGCAATAGGAATAAAGGATGACAATATATCACTTATAATAATTATAATTTAATTAATTAATTAATTATAATTTAGAATTGTGAGGATTCTATCAAAATTTTATATAAAACACACGCCTATAAATAATAGACTTTAATATCTACAATAATTATTTAGTATATATATTTTTTGTTGGAAAATAAAATTAATAATAGTCTATTGCAACATAAACTTTTTATATTTGAAAAAACATATTTTGCAACATAAGTAAACTTTCTCAAATTTTTTTTTTTACTAACTATAAAATTCCTTGTAGTGCCTGAGCATTTATACTTGTCGTTAGATGTGAAACAAGTGTAGCTAAAAGTCTAAATAGCAATTTTTTTTTTTTAAGTTTTCACTGCAAGTGTAGCTAAAGCTCAAATTGGTTGCAGTCGGTAAATGTTGCAAAGACTTTGTTCAGCAGCCACATGCTTCTTGGTTTACGTGTTCTTCAATTAATGTTTAGTAAAACAAAAATTACTTTTATCTGACTGAAATACACTATATATAGGCATATATATCCTTAATAAATAAATGTCTCTTCAATTCTCTAATCACAAAAAGGATTTCGTCCCACAGACAATAGAACAATACTTGACAATAAGAAGATCGAAGAAATTTACTGATGAGAACAATAATATTTACTGATGTAAGAGCTCAAGAGCTCTTAACAAAGTGGGTCTAAACCTATTGACATCAAGGTTGACATTCTGTTTCTCTAAATATACTGACTTAAATGCATACCAACCCTGTTTCCCAATGGCATATGGATTGCTCAACACCTCATGCTCTGGTGGATATTGTTGTATCAAAGTACTCTCTTCTGTTTTAATCTTATATTCCAAGTACCTAATGTTCATGTCCGTGGAAGGCTCTTCAAAGTCGGTTCTGGCCAGCCATTCGAACCCTCCAATGGGAACTACTTGGATCAAAATTGCATTCTCAGGAAGAAAAACCATGTTGGTTAAGCCAGCTCCGTGGACTCCCATCATTACATCACAAGAGTTCACAATTTTTGCAACTCTTGCTACGTTCAAGTCTGCCTCCGCAATAACTACTTCGTAGCCTAGCCTTCTTGCCATTTCTGCAATGTCGTTTGTATTTGTAAATGCTCGGGTTCTCTTTCTTGAAAGAATGAGAAGCCGAGGTCTTCTGATCTTCTCATCATTATCCCTCATTTTGATGGTGCTCACTTTTTGCAAGGAATAAGCACTTCTCAAAAACTGCCTGAATTCTTTCATGGAATAAGGTGATTTTGAAGAATCAATCGTTAGCTCTTTAGGATTACGCTTCAGGCCAACAATCACACTTGTGAAACAGTGAATGTGTTCTTCTTTATCAATGTCCATCAGCTCGTATCTAGAAAGCTTCTCTAGTATATTTTGGAACTTATTAATCCACAATGGCTTTTTGTTTGTAATAAGAAACTTCACTTCTCCATCAAACTGTCGAGATGTTAAATATAGAGGAATAACGATGTCGGTGTAGTCGTGGAAATTGTTTCCTGCATATCCTCCAATGGAAAAAACGATGGCTGGAACCCTATGGTTTTGATCACATTGAGGTACTGCGTAGCCATCCACCCCGGATTTTACAGACCATTTCGTTACATGATTCAACGCCTCTTCATCTCCTTTTCGAGCATAAGGACTGATAAGCCACGAGCTGTTTTCCACCAAGGTACCTGCTTGGGAAGAAGCAGCCATGAAAACTGTAGAGGATCTTCCATCGATCCTTATGTCTCCATTCATGTCACAAAATTCTGTTCTTTCTTCTAGATTGCAAATTGGCTTCATTTTCTCCGGTACAACATCTTGACAATATAAGATCAACGTCAAAATGAGTAACAGTAATAAAAAAATGACTAACGTCGGTTTTAACTCCTCCAACAGATATCGACTGAACGCTTACCCCTAACTTGCTGAGAGCGGTTTCTATTGTTGATCTCTAGCGTTTGAGAGCTGCTGCTCCTGTCGTTAGTTACTGGCACTGAAATATTAGAGCTGATTGTATAGTTGCTCATTGCCACATTTGAGGAGCTGCTTGTATAGTTTATTACTGGGATCTTGGAACTGCTCATCCTGTCATCATTATGAGCTGGCAGCGGCTTATTGAAGTTAAATGAGTCGTTTCTCATTGTTACATTAGTGCTGAAAGTATCCTTGATCTGCTGGGTCTTAGAGCTGCCGACAATGTCATTAACCACAGGCAGTGCCATATTAGAGCTGCTTCTATCTCTGTCCACCACCATCTCAATCTCAGAGTCAGAGCTGCTAATTTCATTGACAATTATTGTCATGGAATTGCTCGTATCATTTGCCCTTAGCTTCTGAGAGGTGGATAAATCCGGCGTTATTCTTAGGATCTTGAGACCAACATCCATGGACAGCCTCATATTTACTGCAAAAGAAATGGTACACCAACTATCGATAACGTAAACAGGACATAATTATTCTAAATTTTATAGAGTCAGATCCTTTTGTTGTTAAAATAAGATTAATGCAGAAAAAGAACAAATGGGGTACTTACGAACTGGTAGAGGACCCAAGTAAGGCTTGAAGACAATGCAATAGCTAAATCCAATGAGCAAACAACCTAGAAATGCTCCATACCTTAACTTCTTTTGGTCATGGCGGCTAAAGCTTCTAGAAAAAATTGTATCATACATCATTTTCTCACCCATTTTTTCCCACTCAAGAAAATTACATACATTCAACTTAATTTCATGTAATTAAAGTGTCATTTTATATAAAAAAGCTGTAGCTTTGATAGAAGGATATGAAAATGCAAAGAAGGAAGATCATAGTTTTAAATGCAAAGAATTGCAACTCTTTCGTTGAAGTAGCGAGAGACATTTCAACAGACGGCCAATCAAGGGTTTTGTGAGATTATATTTTGTAGGAAAATTGGAGGAGGTTGGGGAGGGTTTTTCTTGGAATTGTATTGCTCCACGTGAGTTTTTTTTTTTTTTTTTTAATAGTTGTATTCTGGATTTTCTAAATTCATGGTAGGGTTTTGACAAGGACTTTGCGGCTGACTGTTTGGATATATTACAATCATTGGTTTAATTGTTGATCTCATTAGAGTGAATAGTCGGCTTCGCAATCCACCTTTGATACGTATCAACCAACTGAAAGTTAATATAACTTTTTCTATTTAGAAATTAAAGAGAACATCACTATAACATTGTCATTGATTATATTCTAGAATTTACTATCATGTTTTAATTTCACTAAACTATATATGAATTTGAAATATACAGAAGACAAATAATTTTTTCCAATTTAAATTATATATTCATATGTTTCTTCAAATATACTCGCATTTTTACACGTCTTTTGCATCCATATGGATCAAATGTTAAAAGAGATTCCAAGTGCTTAATTAAAGTCTCCATTTTATATAATAAGCATGTTTAATTAGTTATTATATTTTGCCAAGTTAAAGGAAAAATAATCCCTATTATCATCCCATAAATACTCAATACGTAAATGAGCTGATTCTTCAAAATTTTCAATGGCAGGTAGTAGAGTTTTAGTTAGAGGCAGCATCCTATAGATTAAGACATGTTAACACACTTTGTCTCCTTGGTCATGGTGGGATGCATGATTGGGTTTGGAAGAGAAGCTTGTTTTTTAAAATTTGCTGTTTCTTTTGGAAGAATATGTGTGTTCCATTTAATAAGAATAGTTTCTTCAGAGTTTAATTAGATGGCAAATAGAAAATCAGCAGTTGTTAAGTTATTGTTTTCACGATAATACAACCAACCTTGGATTTTATACTTCCCTAGCTAATTGAAAACATATCATTATTTTTTATTATGATGATTTCTCTTTCTGATCTCCGGCCTCTGTATTTTATAGAATATAAATTAGCAAATATTGCAGCCTCATGATCAAAGGTAAAAAAAAAAAAAAAAAACTATAAGTTATGCAACTTTTTTTTTTCTGGCTACATATATAGATGATTGAAAAGTAGCTTCTGTCTACAACTTTTTGCCCAGAAAAAATTGACCAGCATAGTTGGACCAAATCCAACCAGATGGAAACTTTGTTAATTTGTCAACGTTAGGCAGCAAATGCAAATGCAAATGCAAATGCAATCCAAGCTCAACGATGATTGTAAGGTACTTACTGACACTTGCACTGTCAAAATTTGGGATAAAATTTTATCTTTACCTATAAATTAATTAATTAATCAAATTCTTTTGTATGGTTTTACTTCATATGCAATTTTACTAGTTTAATTTTATTAGAATTTTAGATTTATCATCCTAAAATCATATATCACTTCATTACTCTACAATAATTATTATGAATATATTACCCTAAAATGCTATATAATTTATGCTATTTATTTTACATTCAGAATAATTGGTGTGTAACTTCTTCTAGCTACTATCAAACTATAAAAAAAATTAGGTTCAATTAATCTCTTCTTCTGTTAATAAAAAAATCTTATTATTTATAATTATTAGTTTCTATTTTATTTCTTCAGAAATTATTGTAAAGTTAATGATAGACAAATGAACGAATAATTCAAATTTAATAAAAAAAATCTAACAGTTATTGCATATAAATTAAACTAGGTGAAAATAAACAAATAAGCAAATAATTCAAATTTAATAAAAATTCTATCAACTTATTGCATATAAATTAAAGTAAAAAAAATATTTTAACATTATTAAGAAAATTAATTACATATATTTTTTATTTTTATTAATTCTTTAAAAATGTCATTTACTTTTGTTTTGAAATAATATAACCAATGGCCATTTACCATTTAACTATAGTGAAAAAAAATTTTTTGGGCTCTATCAAGGAAATTAATTTATTAATGCAAACCATTATAGACCTACCATCATCCAAACATCCGTCTCTAAAGGAGTCAAACATAAAGCAATTACTAAAGAAAATCTTATACCACTTCATGTAGTGATAATCCGATCCTATAATCAAGCAGCAAACAAATTATCTCAGTTCACAACCGTCTTCACTAAAGAGTCTGCTAATGTGTTGTTTATCTGAGATTTGTTATGAGATGATTACTTTAAAAATTATAATGATTTACACGTGATGATTAAATCATTGTATTTAATATATGATAAACACTGAATAATCTTATATAATAGTGATTTTAGATAAAAAAAAAAAAATCAAATTACTGTCTTAGAAGATAATTTAATTCTCAAATAAAAGAATAGGAAACTTAGGACATCTTAAAATTGTAATTATTTTATATTATAATTTTTTTATATTTTTAAATTAATATTTATTTTATCAAGTTCAAAATAATTTGTATTTTTTTATTTTTTTAATATTTTATATATAATATAATTTTTGTTTTTCTTTTATTATGAATTTAATAAATTGGTTTTATTTTCTAATTCAAATTTTTTTTATAGAATTTATATTATAGAAATCAATTTACCTATCAATAAATATATTTATTAATTTAATAATTTATTATATTTTATTATAAAATAAATAAATATTACTAATATTTTATAAATTATTATCTTTAAACAATTTTAAAATTATTAATTTGTGGAACATTACAATATGCATTATTATTTTCGTATTTTTAAACAAAATAATATTTGATTTTTAATAATACAAAATGTAATAATCATTAATTTTTAAAAGTTAATCATTATTAATCAAATAAAATAATTTTAAATTACAGATGTTAAAATCACCTTAATAACCTTAATAATTACATTATCATGGTGATATTATAAAAGATACTAAATTATACCTAAATGTATGACAAAAAAGACTTTACCCGTCTCCTCGCTAAACTTATCAAGCTCATTAGTTATTTCCATTGTCATATTTGATTGCCAGAAATGCTTCTTGACAAAAACGAAATAGAAAACTCCTTTAATGAAAGCCGAGGCATCTAAGTACTCCACCACCCCTCGTAAACCGGATTAACCATTAGCAGATCCATCGACATTAAACTTCAGTGTATTTCCACCGGATGCGACCAATAAGCTCCTGCTCTCGACTTAACGACACCAACACTACCAACGAAGGTCCTAAGATCAGACCACCACCCAAACTTAACAAAGCTCAATTCACCCTCTATAGCTAGCTATAAACCAGATCAAAACCCTCAGTTTAATAGTAAAGAACGATCCCTTCCCATTTTCCTTTCAAATATCGAATCATTTCAAGCAAGCCGTACACACCAAAGTGTATCCGGCCCCACAAACCAAATCCATCTTCCTTTTAATACAACGGCACAAGGGACCCCTTCGCACCGTAAAATCAAGTCCCTAATATAGTTCGGTAACACCCAAACCAATCCCCACCATTTAACACTGCATCCCAAACATTCCATGCAAGCACACGACCACATAATATGTGATCGATGACAGTCCTCATCAAACGATCCACACCACACACGTAAACTCTGACCAACATTAAACCAAATCAGCCTATCCTAGACCTAAGCATTAACAGACACCGTTCCCAACAAATTCAGCAGCTCATCCAAAGAGTTTCTTTCCCATACCCTCAACTCGATTTTATTCTTACACCATAAGACGAACAAACCCTTCTCTCTTTTCTGTCTCTTTCAATTTTAAAATCCCAAATAAAACACCAATTTTTGTCATCGCATTCCTTCAACTCCGAAAGGTCACTCCATTTATTCTTCTCACCCAAATCAAAAGGTGCATACACATTAAACACCACACACTCAAAGCTTTAATCTAACTACCTCTGTTTTACTCCTATAAATGGATGATTCAAAATAATAGAGCTCTTGACAAACAAGCCCTTATCCCATATAGATAAAAACCCCCCCTCTGAATTTCCAATGATTGGCATTGAAACCAAATCATAATTGCCATCCCTCCAAATCCTCTCAATATTCCTCCATACGTCGCAGGACCCACTTTCATCTCCTTTATCATCACAATATCAACTTTCAAAATATTCCCAAGTCTCTTTAAACTACCCATTTTGATATCCAATGACAGATCCCTGCTGTTCAAGGACAAAGTCTTCAATTTCAATCTCACAACGACACCCTCGCATACCCCTGGTCGACCCTATTCCCCACCGATCCAAGGAAGAGAAAACACCATTAATTTGATACTTGAAGGGCTAGGGTTGTTTGTCAACACCACTAACGTTACCTCCTCTGTATATTTAATATATTATCCAACTTTAAAATCTTTATCATGATATTTGACTTATAAATATGTTAATTAATTTGATATTTGAAGAATTATTTATCTATCATGTATTATCAGTTAAAATTAGACCTATTTAAGGGTTGAGTTATCTATCCAAATTCAAAAATCAATTCAAGTTTGAGAGAGTTGAGATAAAAAATTAAAACTCATTAAAAAAATTTGGATACAATTTTTAGATTCATGTAAATTTTGAACCGAATCTTGAATAAAAAATTTAAAACTCAAATTCAACCAAAATTCACATATATATAATTTATATATTTATATATATATAAATTATATATAAATTATATATAAATTAATTTACATATATATAAAAATTAAAGTTAAAAATTATATATTTTATTAAACATAATTTTTATTTTTAATTTTTATATATATATGTAAGTTAAATATAATTCTATTAAATTTAATTTAATCGCATTTTAAAAAAAATAATTATATAAATTAAATTTAATGGGTGACCTTGAGATTTTTTTTTTATATAATTTGAATCAAATTTGAAAAAATTTTAAAACTCAAAATTTTAAGTCGAATTGTATCTAAACAAACACAAAAATTATTAATACTAAATATAAATTTGATTCGATCCGACTCATAAATACTTTTACTTGAAACTAATAAAAATGAATATTATATTAATTAATAAATTTATAATTCAAATTTATACATATTAAAATTTTTTAAAATTTAAATATTATATTAAATGTTTAATTATAATTTAAAAATTATCCATAATAACAATATTTTTGTGTTTTTAAGGGGAAGGCTAGGGGCATTCCTTTTTACAAACAGCCTTTGACACCCGCTCTCTTAAATGGTCACGTGATGGGAATTTTAATAGTGAAACCAGCGACTGCTTTTTATAAATTTTCTTTTTTGCATGTCATTGTAAAATTTCTCGAGTCCCAGCTCTTAATTTATGCCTCCTTTGTGAATGAGTTTCGGTTTAACGGCAAGAAAAAAATTTTAAAGTTTTGTAGTGCATGGGTTTGGTTTAATTATATTAGATTTATTTAATTATATTTTAATTTATTTATTTATTTATTTTAAATTTTTTTATATAAATATAATATTTAATTATAATTGTAATTTGATAGAAAAAAAACCGTCGCCACTCCTTTATCTAGATTTTTTTTGGGGCACGTCTTTGGCATGTCACTTGTGATATCTAATCACAAGTGAAAAATAATTAATACACATAATTTATCCAAAAAGAAAATAGATCACATATACATCATCTATATAGTTAAATCCTGATTAATTAGTAAATATCTGTAAATTAAGGAACAAAGATGTACACTTAAAAAATAATGTACATTATTTGCAAACCACACATCTTGCAAAATGTCATAAGTAAAAGCCCATCTAGATTTAGCTAGAACGAAAGCTTGATGTCAACAGTCCTAACAACTTAAAAAAACCATTAGTTCAACTAGGTCCAGAGCTTTATTTTCTTATCAAAGATTCCTGCTCCATACGTTGAAATAAATATTTTGACAAGCAGAGGAAACTGCAACCAGACGAAGCGAGTGATAGGAATGGTAGCAAGTAAAATGATTGGAATGATTATCCACACTCGCCCTTGTAGCATGATAAAAAGGGTAGCACAAAAGGCTGCCATCATCGTCGCTATAGAAATGAAGAGTGTGGAAAGGCCAATGATCAACTTTTTTGGTAAAGAGATAAGGAAATCTTCCATTGCATAACGTGAGGTGAGAATGCCGAGGAACATCAACACTGAAGTCGAAGAAGTGAAAAGAGAAATGGCATCTGATACTATGAAAATCATAAATGCATCTTTGTAATACTGAGCACGCCCGCTGGTCAAGTATATGGGGAAACCACTGTTTTGATCGTTACCACCGGGAACAGTAAACGCTGCAGCAAACATAATGGTCATGATCAGAGTACCCACAACTGTTGATGAACTTGCTACTTTCTTCATCCATTCCTCCCCTTGTTTTGCCAACTCCTTATGGGTTCCATCAAACAATTGCCTTGCAGTATAACCTTCATTATTTTTATATCGCGCATGCACCTGTGGCAAAATATTCTCCATCTCCCGCATGCATTCAGAGTCAAGAAACTTCATCGCTGTTGTATAATATATATATATATATATATATATAGAAGAATAATAATCTTAACTTTTGGGTATTTAGTGATATATTTTTCCTTAAAATAAATGGTTATGACTTATGAGGATATTGAGTTGAACATTCAAGGATGAAAAAAAAAGTCGTGTCAATGAAGTAGAAGTTAAAAGGCGACGACCTTAAACCACTGTAATTCTCTTTGCATCTGAAGAGCTGCACCTGATATTGGAGTAAGCTTAGCTTTAGATTCAGTACCCAAAGTTGCTGCCAAATGTAATAAACTGTTGCCCTCAGAGTCCGCCAAAGCAAAGGAAGTCTTCTTGCTGCTATCAAACCCATAGATGAGCCCAAAAACTTTTTCTTGACGATATATGGTCGCAATCTTGAAGAAGTCTCTTCCCTTATCATCGCTGAGCAATATTAAATCTGGATTTGTTTTAAATATCTCAACTATGGGTTCTGTTATCCCCCGCCTGGGAGCCTTAAAGACTGCGTGATGCACTCCAACTTGAATGAGTTGTTGACCATCAATCGTAGCTGTATATTCACATACCCTGCGTAAAAATGCAAGGGCATTGGCATGGATGCTCTTTAAATCATATATTCTCTGGATTCCTGCACCAAGAATCATGATTGCTTGAATTCTGGGTAAAACTTAACTCGGACACAACACACAACAATTAACATAATAAGTTAATATATATGAATAGACATTTCATTTCTTAATTTTTATTACTTTTTTTGTGGCTTTCATGTGAATTGAGCAAATGAATTGGTGCCTGTTTAGCTGGTGATAGTATTTAAACTTAACAATTGATATTATAATATTAGAAATTTAGAAGAGTTTTGGTCAAATTCTAACAAGAAACATTAATGTATAGGAAATTGATCACAAATAGTTACAAGATGAATTTTTAAATATGTTATGATGGATCAATTAGTTCGACAAAAATACCTTCGGTGATGATGTTTTTACTGTTGTTCTTCGCTCGTCCAGAAGTATAACTGAAATCATCATCACTTGAGGCTGCGGATTGCTTTACCTTTAAACCTTCATATAGATAAAATCAATACTGCATATCAAGCCAATATTACTAGATTCAAACGTGTTTGTATCCCAAGCCAACAAGAAAAAAACAAATTATAAGTTTCTCAGATGATCAACTATTAGTGAAAATTTTTTTTTTTATTTATTCTAAAACATAATTAATTTTGAAGATACTAAACACTATAGCTCAATATTTAAATTGAAATCAAATAACCTGATAATCACTTCACTTAATAAACAAGGCAGTGAAAATTTTGTAAGTCAACACCAAGGGGCCCATAACATAAAAAAGCTAACCCAATGTGCTAAAAACATTCCTAAAATACACAAAATCCTTAATGAAGTAGCTCACAATTGATGATCATTCCAGCCAAGAGGAACCAATCTCATTAAAACTGAAAAAAGAACTCTATAGCTTCAAAGCTAACTCATGTTATAGGAACTTTTGAACTCCTTGCTTGCAACTTCATTCCCATAAAATCTAAATGGACTAATTATCAACAGTATTCACACTTTTGAATTCCTTAAACACATTACAATTTACAACAATAATTTCCTCGCTTGAATCTCCAAAATTAGACCTCCCAGCTCTGAATATCTGGTTGCTTTCATCTATATCCATAATTGAATAATCTTGGTCCAATCAATTAAGAGCTCTTATTTATTTATTTATTTTTTGTACAAAAGATATCGCAATCTGAAATAAGAAAAAAATTACAGATATTAAGATTTGAATTTCAAACTTAATAGATATCATATCTTTCAAAGATAATTGTAGGAGCCAATTGAGATAAACTTCAAGGCTTTTGGCATTGGAGTGTTTGGGAACACTGAATTCCAATAAACCTCCTATAATAGATCACCACGGGTCCCTCCAAATGCAAGCAAATAGACCAGAAAATAGCTCCACCAAAGACAACACTAGGTACATAGATTGCACTCAAAATAGTACCAAGATCACCAACAATGCTCTGCCAAATAAAATCAATTATCAAATTCAATTTCGCCTCTCATCACCTTTTCTTATCTACTTCTCTACAAGTACGTAGTCTACACATTAAATGATAGACGCTCAACTTCTACTCTAATCCATCACCTTTGCACTAGGACCTCCTTAACTTCCAGACAAGCTACAAACCCACAAAATATCATTTGAATATCAAAACACTTGCAATTCACTAATTATTACTCATTTTTAAATTAACACAAAATAAATAAAACATAAATATGTAAATTATCAAATTTATATGTTAATTTAATATAAATATACAAATTATCCGCGGTCATTCCTTCCTATTACTGTTGTTGAATTATTATATCCATTAGAACACACTCTCTCTGATCTATAATTGATTTTCTCTTTCAATTCCAATGTTTTTGTCCTCTTTTTGCCCACGAAACCATCATCTCCTAATTTTGTCATCTTTATCCTTACAATATGTTCTACCTGGTCTGCTTCAAAGGTATTTAAAGACTCTTCATCTTCTTTGAACGCACAAACTGGAACTATCCTTGAAGTCCTTTACAGTGTCAAACTCAAAATTGTCCTTGTAACCTTAAGAGCAAGGATCAATTCCGAAAAAATTTCATTAACCCGTACACTATACTTTTTATCATCAATCTGTAATTCAATCCATTCTTCAAATTTTGAAGCTGAATCAGTGTAAATACACAAAACTCTTCGATGAAAAGACTAAGTTCTAACCAAACCTCTACAGAGTCAAAGCAATTCTTCAAACAAACCCAATTATCTTTACTTCATTTCTTCAAACAAACCGATTCTTTTTCCTACATTTCTTCAAACTTTTATAAAATCATCTTAACTACTGTTAGAGAAATGAAATTGAAAATTTAAGGAAGAGAAGTGATTCTTACAAGAATATATCCATCTTTCCCAAAATGAAAGCTTAGTTCCACTAAGAAATAAGGAAGGAACATTACACAACGCCATAATGGGAATTCCACCGCTACCATCTTCAGTGATCGCCAAGTTCGGACTATATCGGATCATATCGAAAGCAATATCTGGTGATAAAAAAAAATTATATATAATATATGTACATATTAAAAGATGTCGAAGTATGAGGAATTATTATATATACATATCTTATATATAGGGTTAGTTCTAAACCCTACATATCATAATGGAGTAAATAATTAAAAAATAGATTTTGCTGATAAGAGTATCCTTAAGTATTTTTTAAGATTATCAGATGAAGTAATATAATTTTTGGCGAATCATCAATCTATATTTCGTTATTATCCAAAATCACACTTACAAGCACTACAAATTCACATATGCCTTGGTCTATTACATGAGATCTTACAACAAGAACCTCACAATCCTGTTGGTTCCACAACCACTTTTAGCAAATGAAAATGGTTCCAAGTCCGCTATTTGTTGATGTAGATCTTTTGTTCCAGTGATTGAATATTGACACCAAATGAAGAATCGAAAACTACAAGGAAATGATATCAAGACATGTCATGTTGACACTTTCCTTTAGACTTATTTGTCCTCATTATTTTTTTTGGATGCAATTCAAATAGTCTACGAGATACAATGAAACTTTATTTGAATTCACCTTGCATTAGTGGAATTCAAACCACTAAACACCCTTAAAGAGGCACAAAAATATCTAATCCTAAACTTGGTTTTCTGCAATAAAACAAAGTCTAAAAGACTTGTCTTCTTTTGATAGTGAGAGGGAGAAGATTTTGGCAGAGTTTCAGCACATATTTTCAGAACACAAAAACATATTACAAATAACTTCTAATCCACCTCTATTTATAGAGAATGAACCTAAGGAATGCGTCCCTTAACTTGTGTCATTTCAATAAACTAACACGTCTTTATATCTTAAAGACATCATGAATAATTATGGACATATTATTCACCTCTTTGATAGTGAAAGATTATAATCATGTATGAAAGAGTATATCTCATTTCAAGTGAAATTATTTAAAAAAAATCACACTTTTGGTCGAACATAAGGTCGAATGCCCATGATAAGGCATTCAAATGCCCTAGTGATTTTGCATTGATTTTTCTGAACAATAAGTAAGCATTCGAATGCCCTAACTTAATTTTCACATATTTTAGCTTATTCTTGTTTCCAAAGCTCTTTTTTTTTTTCAATCTTTCTTATCTTTGATTTCTCTTTCCTTAGTTAAAAATGATAATTAACTAATCCTTTTTCATTATTTTCAAATATTTTCAACATTTCCCCACCTATTTTCAAAATAGAACAAGTCAAACATTTTTGAAAATCTAATGCATAAGTAAAAGTATCATACATACCTAATTTAAAACTCACTTTAGTAATAAGGTGTTGTTGAATTAATCAAAATTATATGATAAAACTAAATCTTTGAACTAATAAATCTATGTGATTAGTCAAGCGTCAAATTACATATAACCTTTCACACTCAACAAAAGTCTTTTAGCAATGCTTGACACAATTTCACTGGCCATGTGTCTTGTATCTTTTTCATGGGTGTTTCAGAACCAAGTCCTTAGTTCCTAGATACAGCACCGCTTTCACTCATATAGGTGAACTCCATTAGAAATGTCACCATATAAGGCATTCCAACGCTTTTATTTATGTGTTATGCGTCCATTAAGATTTATAACTCAACCTCCTCCTTTTGTCCATACGGTTACAAGTACTTTTCGACCTTGCGATGGCATATATATCTTAAGTACTTGTAGTCACATTCAAATGATATGCTTGGAGGACTCATTAGAACTTAAAACTTAATGTCTTATTAAACGTTGAGTTGAGGTTCCATCATGTGTGCCTTAAATAGTGGGCTTATGTCTTATCCCTTATAAAAGTCTAGACATCATTTCTTTACAATTCCATTTATTAAAGGATTTATTTTTCTTAGCTTGACAAAGTATATGGTGCGCATCTATTGTCATATTCTTCACATAGCTTGCTCTAACCAATGTGTCTAGATTTCTTGTATTTGGCTCTTAGCCTTTGACAAATTAACTATTACAATAAACTTGTTGCACATTGGCTTAGACCCTAAGAAAATTATAACTTTTACTTTATTTTTTACTTGCCATATTCAATCCTTATGAATTCCATAAAATGGTAAACCTTTAATACATTATTATTTCTTCAAATTCCAAGAAATATTACCCCCATCATACATGTATACCAATCCATTTCTGGATTTATCATGTTGGTAATTCCACTTGCATTGATCTATCCTTTTCTTTATCGAAAGATTTTGTTACAGTATATAATATCTCATTGTTTCATGTATCACAAAAGTAATGTTTCACATTGTGGATGCCTTTGCATACATCAATCATTTATTTACTTTTATTTATTCCATTATGCAACTATCATTCTTTTTGCTAGTGTTGTATCTTTTACACAATAATAGGTTTGTTTTAGAATCTTTTTAATTTGGGAAAATTCACTTGTCATTTTATAAAGACTTTTATTCCCAAAATCACTTCCACAACAGTTTATTTTTATAAAAAACCTTTTGGCGCTTTAATTTGATCTTGGTTCATACCAACCATGTCATCTTCTTATAATTAAATGATGACAACTTGTTGAAGTAACTATAGATACTTTTAATCATATCATATATTTATGCAATATCATAAGTCAAAATTACTTTATCAAATGATAATAGCATTTCTTAAGAACTTAATTAAGCTCACTTAAGAACTAAACTTATTTACATACCTTATAACATTGTATTGGAATCCATAACTTTTTAGGTTATTCCATAAACACCATTTTGTCTAATTCACCTTTTAGAACTATATGGATCCTCATATCTTTTGGTAAATTATCATGAATGTTACAAGCATTCTTTTGTAGCCATTTATTCTTGCTACGTTGTATATGTAGCGTTCGATATATGTGTTAGTTCTCATAACATTTGTCTTTAATCTTATCTTTAGTCTATCAACTTTTATTTTATGAAATTTCATTTGTAACCTTATTGGTTTGCAACAAGATATTAAGCCTTATCCTTGGCCAAAAGTCCTTAAGCTTTTTTCAGTTAATCATTCATTGAGCATTATTACACACCAAAATGATGTCATTTTAGTATGCTCCAAATTATAAAATCCATCTCTTTTAATTAATTTTAACACTATTGAACAATTCAATTCTTCCGATTTACAAATCATAAATATTGCAAGTTTAACATGCATAATCATATCAATTATCTTGCACACAATCATAACAAATATTTATAATAGAAGTCACAATTTATTCTTTTCTTTTCTGTTGGCAGATCGAAGGTTGCTTATATCCATCAACTTCATGTGCTCGAATGCCATGGGTGGTTGTGTGTGCTGAATGCACTATAGGGCTAGTTATGTACCTTTCTAAAAGCAATTGATTTTGGGAGAGTTGGTAGCGCTTGAAGTCCTAAAAATTGTATAAGAGCCAAGGTCACAAGTTTGAATCCTAGGTTGTTGCTAGGGGGAGATTGTTGACAGATTAGAGGTTAGCCGCATCCATCAACTCTATGTGTTCGAATGTGGTGGGCACTTGTGTGTGTTGAATGCACTATAAGACTAAGGTATGCATTCACCAAGACGTTACCTGATCGATCCCCTTGTTACCCAATCGATAAAGTCATGAACAATTTCCCTTATGTGCATCGTTTTGACCACTTAAAATCTGGACTTTCCTTCCTTCCTTGACCGACCAGAGTCTCTTTTCCTTTTTCCCAAAACATTTTCTCCTAAAACCCTAGGCATTCATGCTTCAATTTCTCTCAAAATTGGTCACTTTCAAACCAAAATCTTTTGCAAATTGCTTTATATCTATTTGATTTCTTGCAAAATCTTCTTTAAAAATCTTTCAAATCACACAAAAATCTCCATTCATGCTTCTCACTCTAGGAAATTGATCCCCTTTTGTGCCTCCATTGAAACTACCTCATTTACTTAATTTTCTTACACCTCTCAAACATATTCTACTACTTGTCACCTACATTCATAAATTCCTTTATCAATTTCACATAAGCCTATATATTTTACTATTTCATTGTTTCCATGCACCTAAAACAAGACCTCCTCTTACCACAAAAAGAATCCACTAAGAGAAGCCTCTAATTCTTCAATCAAGCCTTCTTTCAACCAAAATTTCAAAAATCTTACAGTAAATAAGAGATATGAGACTCATTTTATTCATAGATAAGTCAAACAAGGAAGGGTAATCAATCTTAATTTCTTTCAATCTATTGGATTTCCATACTTACATGCTTTTGAGAATTTTGGTTGGATGAACTATTTTAGTTTGGATGGCATTGTTTTTTAGAATCTAGTAAGGATACTTTATAGTAATGCAAACTATATTGAATTTGATGGACATGGGAATAGGTATTATACTGATAAATTTAGGACATTTCTTATGGGTAAAGAAACAGTTGTGGACAAGAATTTGTTGGTTGAAACTTTCATGTTAAAAGATAATTGAGACACAAACACTAGATGTGATATGCTTAGATTGGTCCAAGATATTTTTGAGCATGATGATTTGAAGGTTGCTCCAACTCAAGCTTCTAAGTTGAACATGCATGATAGATTGCTTCATCTTATCGTCACACATGTGTTAGCACCATTTGGAACCCAACGCTCCACCATTAGGAAACATGATTATTGGTGGATGTATAAGATCAAATATAAGGTGAACCCAATCTTGTGCACTTCATTTTTAATGATATGATGATGGTTAATCAAAACAAGAACTACACCTTGGTATATGGGATAGCCATTAGCAATCTACTTAGAAAGGTGGGTATCAATACTAGAAGTGATAAAGAGATTGTGACTAATCCTGCTAGTGTTATTGGAATTCATGCACTTCATAGTATGGAATACACTCAAAATATTGTTAGGGTATGAATTAAGAAAAGTGAATTTGAAATTGAGCATGAAGAAGAGCATGAGGTTCAAGATATTCCACAAGAAGTTTCACAAGATATTCCCCAAGAAGGTTTTTCTAGTCCACCATTTGATACCTAAGGAGCTTTGCAAA